GGGGACAAAGCATTCACCTGTGGTCTCAGCTGATGACAAATGCAGGGAAGAGATGAAGGAGAGGGATCAGCAAGTGATCAGACAGGGTGATGGAGGAAGACTTCTAGGAAAGAGTGGTATTTTAGTGGAGACCTCAGTGGTGGGATAAAGTAGGTCTTATGAGCTAAGAGGAGAGATTGTTCCAAGCACAAGACCATAGACTCCAAAGGCCTGGAGAACATGAGCTGAGGATGTTTGGGGAGCCCCAGAAAGCCTATGTGCTTGGAGATCGGCAGATCATGGAAGACCTGCACCACTGGAAGGACGCTGGTTTGGTTTCTATGTGATGGAAAACCACCAAAGAGCTGAGTAGGGCAAAGTTGGATCTATGCATGTGTACAGTGTAGGGCCAGAGGTGAATTCACAGAAAGGCAGGAGGACGCTACTGAAAACCTGGGCCATAATGGCGGTGACTTAGACCAAGATGCTGGTGGTAAAAATAGAGAGCAAAAGCTGGATTTGAGAATGATTTTAAAGATAGAGTTGGCAGGATTTGCCAATGAGATATATTCAGCCAGAGAGATATATTCAGCCAATTGTGATTTAACTCAGTCTCGTTTTCCTGCCTCCCAGCACCTGTCCACACACCTCTCAATGTTTTTGGATTTAGGACCAGGAATCCTTCAAGCTCCCACACCCTTCCTTTACATCTTTCCTAACTACTCTCTGTAGTTCTGGAACAAACATTTGCCCTCAAAGACAGGGATAGGAAACTTAGAACTTAATTCTTTCTTTGTTTGCACCAGAGTGCTGTAGGTGGTGCTCTGGTGGATTACCAATCTCAGAGGGCTGTCTAGAATGTATTCTCAAAGCACCTGGCACTGTGATGAGTGTGTGATGAGGCTCTAGGTATATAGATGAGCTGATCATAAACTAAGGTGGTGGAACAATACTGAGTAGACATGAAGAATACCAGAAGCAATCATGAATTCACATATGTCATATTAATATATTACCATGTTAGTATCTTGGCTTGTGTGTCAAATGAGGTCAATTTGCCAGGTTGTAGCAGATGACCGATCATGGTGGTTAAACTTCCACCACCATATAGTAGCCTCTCAGAAAATTTACCTACAAATCAATTCCATCAATCTCAAAATAAAACTTTAAAGAAATAGAAATCAGCATATCTAGGGCTGGCATCTGATATTCACCAAGGCAATGTCTTGCATGGTCTTGGCTTGGAGATCTGTGGGGCACCTTACCCTGATGGGTCCTCTAGGAGCTGTGAAGTTTTCATAACTATTTTCACACAGATTGAGTTCCAAGCATGGTCTCAGTCTCCACCTTGATCCCATTAGTGAGAGCAGGAAGCTTTGGGCATCACCCACAGGAAAACGTGCAACTTAAGAAACTTTCATCTGTCACTGATGGTCTTGGGAGATAACTTTTCAAACTAAGGAAAAGAGATGATTTGGCATTTTCTGGTTTACTAAATAAGATTTTTTTAAAAATTTATATTTTAATATCTTATAAGCACAATTGCTCCAAAAGTGGTTTACTATTGAGAAAAGAAAGATGTATTTGAGTAGAGGCTGTATCTCAGACCCAAAATCTACCTTTTTTTCTTCTAGGTAACAAGCGTTTTATATTTTGAAGCTTTCAAATTTAAGATATTTAATTCATTTGGTTATGAAATTATTTCATTTTTTTTAATTCCTCAAAGAAAAAGATATTTTTCACAATAAACTTACATTTAAAGATGAAATACTGAAACATTTTACTCTGAAATGGAGAACACCACAAGGACATGCACTATACAGATATATACCATTTCTGTTCAACATTTGGAGTCCAAGCCAGTGCAATAAAAGAAGAAGAGGAAAAGGAAGAGGAAGAAGAAGGAGAAAAAAGGAAGAAGAAAGAAGAGGAGGAGTAGAAAAATGAAGAGAAAGAAAAAAGAAGAAAGAAAGAAAAAGGAGAAAGAAAAAATTTTAAAGTAAAGAATATGTACTGGTAAAAAAGAAATAAAAATATTCCTTATAGACACAATTCTTTTTGTACCTAGAATTATTTTTTAAATTCTAGAGATTAATTATTAGAATTAATAAGCAAGTCAAACAAGACATTTAGATATAAGTTCAAATGTAAAATAATGTGAATCAATAGCATTTGAATTACCAGCAACAGAGAGTATGAATATGAAATTTTAAAAAGATAACTTACAGTGGCATCAAAAATTATCAAATACCTAAGAATAACTAATATGCAAGACTTCTACGCAGAAAATTATGCAACAGAATTGAAGGAAAATCTGGCAACTCTATGCCAGGAAATTTAACAACTTAGATAAAATGATCAAGTTCCTTGAAAAACAACTTTATGAAACCGACACAAGAAGAATACTCCTGTAGCTGTTAAATTAATTAAATCCATAGTTTAAAACTTTCCAAGAGAATTCTAGGCCCAGGAGACTTTACTGACAAATCTTTTTTGAACATTAAAGCAAAAAGTTATACCAATCTTACAAAAACTCAGAGAATCAGGGAAGAGGAAATATTTCCCAATTCATTTCTGAGGCCAGAATAACACTTTACTCTTAGGGAGACCAACTATCCTCATTTGCCAAAGGCTGAGGGGTGTCCTGGAAGGGGATCTTACCATGCTGTGACCAGGAAGTCTCAGGAATACCAAAATGAACTGATCATTCTACTGACACCAAAACCTGAGAAGGAAATTATAAGAAAGGAAAACAACAGGCCAAGCTAATTCACAGACACAGAGCAAAAAATTCTAAACAAAGTATTAACGCATTAATATATATAAAACATAACCTATAATATATATAAAACAAACCTGAGAAGGAAATTATAAGAAAGGAAAACAACAGGCCAAGCTAATTCACAAACACAGAGCAAAAAATTCTAAACAAAGTATTAACACATTAATATATATAAAACATAACCTATAATTACCAAGGTTTTATCTTAGAAACACAAGATTGATTTAACATTCAAAAGCCCACTGGCATAAGCTACCTCATTCACTGAATAACAAGGAAAACACTATGATCATCTCAATAGATGCAGAAAAAGCTTTTGATAAAATTCAATATCCATTAATTTTTTTAAAACACTTCAGTGAATTAGTAGTGAAAAAAATTATTCAATCTGATAAAGGGTACCTATCATAAACTTTTATCCAACATGGCACTGGAGGCCTTTGTCACAACGATACAGCAAGGAGAGGAAATAAAGCTCACAAATACTGGAAAGGAAAGGAGAACCTGACATTATTTGAAGAGCACATCATGATGTACATAGAAAATCAAAAAGAATCTACAAAATAATAGAGTTAATAAGTGATCTCGGCCAGATTATTGGATGTGATGTCAATATATATGAGACTGACGCGCTGCCCACTGCGCCAAGAGGGCCATGATGTCAATATATAAGAATCAATTGCATTTCTATATATCGGCAACAAATGGAAATAGAAATTATTTTTAAGCTATAGCAACACATAGAAATAAACTTAATGACAGAAATACAAGACTGTGAAACTACAAAACACTATTGAGAGAAAGTAAATAGAGAGATATACCATGTTCATGGAATGGAAGACTCGATATTGTTTTTTGGGTTTTGTTTTTAGATTGTATTTATTTATTCATAAAAGACACAGAGAGAGAGGCAGAGACACAGGCAGAGGGAGAAGCAGGCTTCACATAGGGAGTCTGATGCGGGACAGGATCCCAGGACCCTGGGATTAGGACCTGATCTGAAGGCAGAAGCAGACGCTCAACCACTGAGCCACCCAGGTGCTCCGAAGACTTGATATTATTAAAACTGACCTATAGATTCAATATAATCCCCAACAAAATCCCAGCAGGCCTGTTTTTGTTGAAAATTAGCACACTGTTATGATTGTTCTAAGTATTCCTTCCCTTTCCTTTCTAAAAATAAATTTTATTGAAGCTTAGTTTACACACTTTAAAATGCACCCAATATGAGTGTTTGATTTAGTCAATTTTGAAGAACTGTACACCCATATCAGGATATAGAACATTTCCACCACCCCCAAAACTCCCTCAGAACTTGGCCTCAGGCAGCAACTTATCTGTTTTCTATCTCTATAGTTTAGTTTTACCTCATTTTAGAATTTCTTGTAAGGGACCTCTGGATGGCTCAGAGGTTGAGCGTCTGCCTTCAGCTCAAGGCATGATCCTGGGGTCCTGGGATCAAGTCCCACATTAGGATCCCTGCCTGGAGCCTGCTTCTCCCTCTGCCTTCTCTCTCATGAGTAAATAAGTAAAATCTTTTTAAAAATAGAATTTCATTGAAATAGAATCATACAGTGTGTATGATCTTGATTCTGGCTTATTTTAATCAAAATAATGCTGCTTGAATTCATCCATGCTGTCTCATGAAACAGTAGTGTGTTTTTGTCATCAATGAGGGCTAAATCATTGATCAAATACACCATAATTTATGTATGCATTCACCAGTGGATGGACATTTATTTGGATTCTTTCTGGTTTTGGTCTCCTGTGAATAAAGCTATTACGAACATTCATATACAAATCATGGTCACACATTTTCGTTTCTCCTTGGGAGACAGCTAAGAATAAATAAGTCATATAGCAAATTTATGCTGAACTATATAAGAAACTGTCCAAATGTTATCCAAAATGGCTGAGCAACGAATAAGAGTTCCAATTATCCCACAGCCTTGTCAAAATTTAGTATTGTCGGTCTTTCCAATCTTTGCTCTTCTGGTAAGTGTGTTGGACCTGTGGACCCTAAACCCCATGTGGAAACAGGGCTAGTGGATGCTATACCCCCAGCACCCCGCAAAAAAAGAATTCTGAAAACCAACATCTCATGCAAACAGGATATTAGCTTTTGTCAGAAAGATCAAAAGGGCTTGAGGTTTTTCTTGACACCCTCAGACAGCCTCGCCTGTCTCTTTCTCTCTCTCTGGTTTTATCTATTCATTTCTGTCCACAGAGGCAGGAAGAGATGGCAGCGGGGGAGACTCAGCTCTACGCAAAGGTCTCCAACAAGCACAAGGGCCGCAGCACCCCCTCACTCCTGGACCCCCTGCTGGGAATGGGCTTCCCTGCACACACCGCGTAAGTACTGTCCCGCCGCTGGCCCCTGGGTGTGTGTCTCAACCCTTCTGGCCTGTGCTGCAGAACTACAGGCAGCTCAGAGCACTTACTTCCTGCCGGAGAGGGGCATCTTGCAGTGTTAGATACTGTCGCAAAATAAGGCCCTTCTCTACTTTTTATAAATGACATGTTCTTTGCTCTTTAAAGACAAACTGGGCTGGCTGGCTGGCTGGCTGGTTGGTAGAGGGATCCTGAAATTTGTAAAACTTGGGAGCCGTGTGCTACTGGGGCACCCCCAAATTTAGGATTTGGAGGAGCTTGGGCCTGGGTTGTATCCTCTCTGCAGTTCAGTGACTGAGATGATACCCGGGGTACATCAAACTCTAAGTGGAGGGGAGCTGTTGAAAGAACTACCAACAGGAATGTATTTCTAAATGATGCCGAGAAACCATTTATCTGTAGGGGAAATCTCTTCATTTTCTGATCATTGAAAGAGATGGTTAAGAAGGTGCCAGAACTGCGTTGACCCAGTCCTGCTTACCCAAGGCAAAGGTTCCCATATAGAAAATGTTAACCTTAGGAGCCACTGTGTCAGAGAGAGAAGTCTCCCCCAAAAACAAGGTATGATAGGGACATGTGGTCCTAATTTTTCTCAGGCTGATTCATGTGGGAAAATGCATCAGAAGTCCCTTTAAGTAACTTTGGATTAGAGAGGGGACCAAAGTTTCCCTAAACATTATAACAAAACCCTGAAATTGGCTGAAATCACTTGGAAGCTGCACTCTTTTCTTTTCTAACCCAACTCAGAACGTTGTTACCTTTATGTTGATAAGACACTGGTTGAAATCAGCAGTGGAACCATGTGCCAGACTCCAGCCAGGGACACGGAAGCCACAGGCAGTGGTGGGGCAGGACCCTACTCTTGGCCCCACTAAACCCCATCCCTTATTACGCTATTGACGTTGGATGGGGACTCAGGCAGCACGGGGCAGCGCCCTGTTGGTTTGCTCTTTAACTCCAGCTACTTCCAGGCTGAATTCCTGAGCGAGTTACCTTAGCCCTATTCCATCCCATCCAATTTGGTCCCATTCAGCTAAATTTAATTCAGTGTCTATACATCCTGGGTTATAATGCCGAGTACGACACCGTTGGACCACAGGGACCTTGCAGGCTGGTAGAGGAGGCAAACAGACGCAGGTTTATAGAGATGAAGCCCGGTGACTGAACCTGTGGTTGGGGACATTTCCCTGGAGGAAGGGCATGTGAGCCATGCTTTGAAGGATCGGGGTCATTTCTCCGAGGGCGTGTTGGCACGGGGCTGCATTTTGGTAGGAGGGCGCGTGTACAAGCCAGGGATTTGGCCCTTCACAGCCAACCTGAGGATGCAAGAGTGGGGTCCCCTGGCTTTAGCGCAGGGTGGAGGGGCTGGCAAGATGGCAGGTGTGGTGGGAGCCAGTGCCAGGACAGGAGTGGGAGCCCCTGCAGGAGAATGAGCAGAGGAGGTGTGAGCAGGTTGGCATTTTCAGAAATCACAGTGATGCCACATGGAGACTGAGGCCTGGGCAGTGCACCCAGCTGCAAAGTGTAGCAGTCCAGGCCCTCATGGGCACCCCCTATACACACACACACACACACACACACACACACACAGGTGTCCTGTGCTGCAGGGCTGCCCCTGCCTCTCCTCTGCTTCCCCAGAGAATGGAAGCCAGGGCTCTTGAATGCTCCTCTCTCTCTTTTTCTTTTTTTTTTTTTAAGATTTTTAATTTATTTATTAATGAGAGAGAGAGAGAGAAGCAGAAACACAGGCAGAGGGAGAAGCAGGCTCCACACAGGGAGCCCGATGTGGGACCCGATCCTGGACTCCAGGGATCATGCCCTGGGCCAAAGGCAGCCGCTCCATCGCTGAGCCCCCCGGGCACCCCTGAACGCTCCTCTCGTTCTGCTCTCCTGCAGGCTGAAGGCGTTGGCAGCCACTGGAAGAAAGACAACGGAAGAGGCATCAGATTGGTGAGTAGGGCCGTCTCCGCAAGGGTGCTGAATGCTTGGCTCTGAGAGCTCGGCGGGGTGGCCACGGGCAGCACCCCACACACGCCGGGCAGCCAGGCACCAAAGGGAAGGAAGAAAAAGAACCCGCATTTAAAATGGGAGACAGAGGAGAGAGATCGAACTGTGAACAAGCGTTTCTTCACTCAAAAATCTGAGTTTATCCAAACGTGACTATCAAAGAAGAAAGAAATCCAATCCACGCGATCTGCTGAGTAAATAGGAAAGATAGAAAATAGAGGTTGCCACTGTCTCAGGCTACCTCTGATGGGGAGAGAGTTTACTGGTTGGTCCTGGATAAGGTGAGGCCTCAGGCGCCAGGTGGGGGGAGGGCCAGGGGTGGAACTCGGGGTTCCAGGGGGCTCTGCTATCCGTCAGTCAGGCACCCTGCAAGCCGCCCGCTCCTGCAGGCCTCGGCTTTGTGCTCTGCGATCACCCCACTCCCAACCCCCCGGGCCCGCCTGAAAGTGCCATGCTGCCGTCACTCTGTCCCTAGGTGGGAAGTCCCCTCACGCTCTGCTCTAGAAAACTGCAGTAAAAATCAAACAATAAAACCCAGGCCTCGACCCGCTGGGGCGCCCTCCCGGAGCAGGATGGCAACCACTGATGGTGGGGCTCTGAGTGGCCGGCGTGTCCTCCCTGGGAATCCCCTTCTTCACCCCAAAACGCTAGGCCAATGGCAGGATAGGCAATCCCTCTACCAGACAAAGGGAAATGCCCAGAATCCTCCGGGCTGGGCTAAGTCTAAAGTCAGTTGCCAAATCTGAATTTCAAACGAAACCCACAGCCTCGAGGGCCATGGTGGCTTCCTTCTAGTTCCAACTCAGCTGCACAGACCACAAGTCCCACCGAGGCACCGGGGAGACAGTGGGGTCCCCTAGGCTCCACCTGGAGTAGACCGACCCTAGCCATTCAGGGGAAGTGCCAAGTAAGATGCCAGTAGAACCCAAAGGCAACTTCAAGCGTCCACGTGGGTGAAGACAAGGGGCGGTCTCTCCCTGCCCTGGCTGCAGTCCCAGTGTGATCCATGCGGCCGCCCAGCCGGCACTTCCACGGCCAGGTCCATGCCTTGGGGACCTAGACAAAGATCGCGATTCCCGTGGTATGAAATCGGGCAAAAAGAAACCAATTTAGGTGTCTGACAGTGGAATGGATGAGTAAGATACCTCGCACACGGGGGGAGGAGCTCGGAGGGCCCTTGGAAGGGTCGCTCGGACTCCCTTAGCCGGGTACCCACCCATCAGCATGGATAAATCTGCAGGACCCTGGCGTGGCCCCAACAATCTGCAGCATGATTTAAGCAATGGCTAATGGTTTATATAAAACACGCACCAAGTGTCATCTATGGGTTCGTTGCTTAAGTTTCTGGGAGAAACCGGTCACCCTCCAGCAACAGCATTTGTGACAGTCAGAGATTCCTTTCTGGCTTGTCGGGGCTCATCGGGGAAGGTTGGAGAAGGATGGGGAAGGATGGGGAAGGATGGGGAAGGATGGGGAAGGATGGGGAAGGATGGGGAAGGTTGGGGAAGGTTGGGGAAGGATGGGGAAGGATGGGGAAGGATGGGGAAGGATGGGGAAGGATGGGGAAGGTTGGGGAAGGTTGGGGAAGGATGGGGAAGGATGGGGAAGGTTGGGAAAGGTTGGGGAAGGTTGGGGAAGGATGGGGAAGGATGGGGAAGGATGGGGAAGGATGGGGAAGGTTGGGGAAGGTTGGGGAAGGTTGGGGAAGGTTGGGGAAGGATGGGGAAGGATGGGGAAGGATGGGGAAGGATGGGGAAGGATGGGGAAGGATGGGGAAGGTTGGGGAAGGATGGGGAAGGATGCATCTATGTGGGAGGGAGTGCTCGGGATGAAGGGTCAGAGCGCCCTCTGATGGTGTTTCGCTCTTAGGGCGACTGCCTCCAGCACAGCTCCTACCTCAGGGGCTGCAGAACTCGCTTAACCCAGGATTACAACTCAGGTGGGTGGGTACCCTCCAGTTCCATCTGCGCCGGCAAATCAAACTCCAATTTAAAAAAATACATAAAAAAAGAATGTGTACAATGCCATTGGTCATTACGGTTTACTGGCATCTATTAAATCTGTTAAAAATCAAACAAACAAAAAAAAACAAACAAAACATAACTCGGACACTTCTCTGCAATCCCAGAAATTCTTCAAAACCATGACTCCCCCCAAAAAAATTTAAAAAATAAATAAATAAATAAACCATGACTCCCAGTGAACAGATGATAAATAAACCTCCTGTCACTTATCTCGTCTCTGCGTCTTTCACCCGTTACAAATAACCCTCCCATAAAGCACGTCAGATGTGCCGCGTTACTTGTTTTCGCCTTTGGAGAAATTTCTGGAAGCGGAATTGTCGGTTCCGATGGGAAGGGTATCCGAAAGCTCTTGGCGCCTCCTGGCAATTTGCTTTTATGCAGACGTTGCACGAACCCGCTGCACCTTTGACACAGTTGAGCATAACCTTTTTTTTTTTTCTTCGTTTCAAACACGTCATTTTCATCTGACGGGCGAGAAAATGACGCCTTGTGGTTGTCTTCATTCTTGTTTCTTCCATCAGTGAGAATGAGCTTGAATTTGAGGTCGTATGACATTTCTCCTTGTCCTTAGAATAACCTTCTGAATACAGAGGAAAATGTATGATAGCTACCTATGTTTTGTCTACGTTTTGGGTTTTTAGGGTTTTGTTTTTTTTTTTTTTTTTTGGAGTTTTGACTTTTACACTCAGTTTGAAGTGAGATAAAATGAAGTATGAGTGTTTTCTACAGATTTTTTTCAACTCTGGGGCGCCTGGGTGGCCCAGATGGGTAAGCGTCTGCCTTCGGTTCAGGTTGTGATCTCAGGGTCCTGGGCTCGAGCCCCACGTTGGGCTCCCAGCTCGGCGGGGAGTCTGCTGCTCCTTCTGTCTGCTTCTCCCCCTGCTTGGGCTCTTTCTGTCTCTCTCTTTCAAATGAATAAATAAAATCTTAAAAAAAAATTTTTTCACCACTACTGAGATAGCTGGCTCCCCAGAGATGGTCTGAAGACCAGGTCACCTTCTCTCACAGTCTTTGTCTTTGACCCGGGAATCACACTAACGTGGGGCAGAGCCTCGGGGGGACGGGGTGGAGGGGGACCCAGTGCTGCTCCGCGGCCACACCGGCCCCGGGCCCGCTGAGCGTTGCCGAGAGGGGCCGGCAGTGACTTTGTGCAGCGTGGACCCCGCCCGTGCACAGCGCGGCCTCTTCTGCTCGCTGCCCTCTCCACGCGGGGACGGCCCTGCCGTCGGGGCACCGGCTGAAAGCGGCCTGTTCTCTTGCAGGCTGCGCTGTCATCGCAATGACCCTTCTCTGGACGATCCCATCCCCCAGGAGTACGCTCTTTTCCTCTGCCCCACGGGGCCCCTGCTGGAGAAACTCGAAGAGTTCTGGAGAGACAGCAAGCGCCAGTGCGCCAAGAACCGGGCTCATGAGGTCTTCCCGCACATCACGCTCTGTGACTTCTTCACGGTGAGTCAGGCCCGCGAGCCCCTAGTGCTCACCGACACGCCGCCAGAGGCACTTCCCCGTGATGTCCAGCGACGCTGGATGTGACCCAGGGGAGCCACGTGATCGGTTGTCACCGGGGTGGGAGGTGGGGGCTGCAGTTGTCGCACCAGCGGGCCTCCTGGTGTGGGACACCCTTCACGTTTTTCCCCGGCCTCAGCTGGGCGACTCCTATGCATCCCTCAGAGCCCCACTCACTTATCCCCCTCCCCCCATTGTCTCCCCCGCCGCCCTCTGCACTCCCACCACCCACCTGTTTGCTAGTATCTCTGGTGGCACTGTCCACGGCTCCGCCCGTGTGTCTGGTGCCACCCTGCGCCCCTCACGAGACTGAATCCCTCCCGAGAAGGTAGATGCTTCCCTCGCTTCCGTGCCCTCAGACTAGCACAAGGCCTCGGAGCAGGTGTTTCGGAACCATGGGATGGATGAGCTGGAGAACTTTCACTGCTGGCCCGTCACGGATGCAGGACTTTCCCTGCTTCAGGAACCGGCCCTGACTCAGAAAACGGTCCAACAGGCAGCCTCACGGGGGTCCCGGGAGGGCAAGAGGGACCTGGGCCGGCTCAGAGGAGAAGATGCAGGCACGAGAGGGAGGAAGGCGGGGAGGGACAGGCTGCCTCTTCCTCTGTGGCTCCCCACCAGAGGAACCAGGGGAGGACACACCCTGGCCGGCCCCCCTCTGCTGTCCCCAGGCTCTTAGGGTTCCACCCAATTCAGGAATCCCACGGGGCCCAAGGACCAGTCCGTCCCAGGCTCCACAGCGTGCATGGGAAGGGGCCACAAGCCTCTGCACGGGCTGTTCCCAGCAGACACCCCCCCGCCGGGAGCTGGGGGGACGTGGTCCCAAGGCACAGAGCTTTTCGGTGCCAAAACCAGGAAAATCCCGGGCAAACTGGGGTGAGCTGGTCACCCTCCAGCAAAGCACTTAGCTGGTCAGAGACTCCTTTCCGGCTTGTCCTGGGAGCTCATCAGGGGAAGAAGGCAGCCAAAGGCCGCGATGAAAACAGCCTCAGAAACAGGAGTGCTTCATCGCGGCAGCCGGGCAGGGGCGGGGGGGCACCCGGGCCTCCAGCTCCTTTTCCCAAGCCCCTGGGGCTGCACCCAGCACCCAGCACCCACACGTCCACACAGACACGACTAAGATACGCGCGCACACACCCTCCCCTTCCCACGTCAGCCGTCCCACTAACCCCCGGCCCACGTCCAACGCCACCTCGGCTGGCCGGGCGCCCTTCCTGGCAGATGGGTGCCAGAGGGACTGGGTCTCTGCCCTTGATGCTGCAGAAGGAAAACGTTCAGCCTCCATGGGTGGAGGTCCCACCGCAGCTCTGCTTCAGTCCGACTCTGTGCTTCCAGACCACATACCTGTGGCCGCGAGATCACAGTGTGGACACTCAGGTTCAAGGTTATACCCTCCACGCATCACGCGCTTTCCCAGGCCCCGCGAGGGCCGCAGAGATGCAATAGGCGGACGAAGGGATGTAGAAATGCGTATGAAAACTAGAAGACGGTTGACTCCTCAGAGGATGAAAGGAGCCGTGGGAAATTCAGAGGGAGCCAACGTCCGGGAAGAGCAGGGCTGGCGCTGATTTCCTGCCGGGATGGGGGTGGGGAGTGGGAGGGCACAGGGCTGGGGTTCGCTGTGGCTTCATATGAGTCTTCCACATGGAGGAAGGTCTCCAAGCCCAGGAAGTGGCTTGGACAGAGCTGACACTCAGGCTGAGCGGGTGTAGACAGAACTCTGCAGGTGACCGGGGTCGCACCTGCCGCTTTGGGGTGAGGGGGTGGCATGGCAGGGACACAGTGTTAGATAGAGCGGTCAGGCTGGAATGTGTGCAGTGAATTGGGGGGCAGCGGGGAGACCAGGTGGGAGCCTGCATTGGTTCACGCTCTCCCAAGGAGCAGACCCCGAGGTGGAGTTAGACGTGCGACCCCAAGTGCGATTGCAAGAGATTTATTTGGGGAGAAGCACTTGTGAAGGATGGAGAAGGACAGAGGGCTGACAGGGAGCCTGGGGGCCCCGAGTCACCTCCATGGAAACCAGCGTCAGGGGCCGTGACGGTCTCGGCCACTGCGGGAGTGTGGCCGGATGCCGGGGGCTTCGGCCACTGCCCCCCTCGCCGTGAGCTCAGAGCACTGCATGCCCATGGTTCAGGGAAACCTCCAGAGGCCACATGATGCTGCATGTGGGTTGACCACAGCTGTGGGTTGACTCGACATGACACAGAGGAACGGGAGCTAGCGAGGGTGACAAGAGACTTCCAGCCTAGACACTTAAAGGATATTCCATTCCAAAAGGAATCTGACGTGAAAGTCTAAGAAACTGAGCACCGCGTGATCCCTGGGTGGCTCAGCGGTTTGGCGCCTGCCTTTGGCCCAGGGAGTGATCCTGGGGTCCCGGGATCGAGTCCCGCATCGGGCTCCCTGCATGGAGCCTGCTTCTCCCTCTGTCTGTGTCTCTGCCTCTCTCTCTCTCTCTCTCTCTCTCTGTGTCTATCATGAATAAATAAATAAAATCTTTAAAAAAAAAAAAAGAAAAGAAAAGAAGGAAAGAAACTGAGCACCAGGTGTGGAACAAATCTCCATGACCCCAAACAGTTGGATAAGATAAGTCATATTCCAGCATCGTGACCCAAAACAGGCCCAGTTGGCTGCCTGGTTTCTTATCAACTACGCTAACCGTCGCACGTCCTCTGTCTCTCTTCTCCCTCAGTGTGAAGACCACAAGGTGGAATGTCTGTATGAGGCTCTAAAGAAAGCTGGGGACAGGATCCTGGGTTCCTTCCCCCCGACGGTCCCTCTGGTCCTCTACTCTTCCATCAGCTATCTAGGCTTCTTCGTGAGCGACAGCCCTGCAGACGTCATCCGGGAATTCGCCATGATGTTCGCCACGGAAGCATCTGTCTTAGCAGGTGGGTGGCGGCCCTGGCCAGGTGCACACGAGGAGCACGGTTAATAGGGACCGATCACTCTGTGCCCGGGGCCGTGCTTGCTCCTGGGGCAGAAGGCCAGCTGCAGGGAAGGGGTGCAAGCTGCTCCTCGCTTGCACACACGCACCCCGGTCGGGGACGATTCCACCCCCACTGCTCCCTTTGCAGCCAGCTCCTCGGATGTGGGCTTTGTCTGAGGCTGAACAGTTCAGCCGGAGCTAAACCTAATGAGCCGGGACGGCCCTCAAAAGGAACGCAGACTCTGAGACCCCGTGGACACCTTTTCCCTAAGTGGGAATACCTTTGTCTCCATCAGTGTGGTTTTTGCAAACATTTGGCACGTTCCAGCAGCCTGGGCAACTGTCCCACCAGGGGCTTCGAGTAGCCACGTGAAGACGGTGGATTGCAGGCTGGTGCCCATGTTGGGGGATCGGGGCCGCCCCCAGCCCCACGCCCACCTTGGGCAGATCCCCTCCCGGGGCCAGCGCTGTGTGGAAAACGCAAGTCCTAGGTGGTTGTTGCTAATGTTTAGGGAGGAGCGAGTCTTTTCTCCTTCACCTCCTGGGGAAGGACGGTCTAGATTCACTGGGAGCATCTGCATCCCTCCCATCCCCCCCTGGACCTGCGCTGGTGGGTAGTCGGGCTCCGGCGAGGCTCACAGGAGGGACCTCAGAGGACGAGAGCTCCTCCCGAGTCTCTGGTCAGCGTTAGGGCTTCCTTGGGCCGCATCAGCCCCTGGAGTCGCTCCCGTCTCTCTGCACGGTGGCGAGGGCTCTGGGCCTTCAAACAACACCGCCTGTTTCTGTGGAGCTCCCCGTCGGTCCTGGCACACGGAGGTGCTCAGTGTCGTGACCCCTGGTTTCAGATGTGCCTGGACGCAGATCTGGCCACGTGATGAGGTGTCCGCATCCTGGATTTCCACTTGGAGCCTGGCCTCTGGACTCTGGGGTCCTATTTGCTGCATGATTATCAGCTTACCCTGTGCCTTTGCAGATTGGCGTCCTTTATAGAAACAAGAGTCAAGTGATGGTTCTTTGACCTCCTTGCCTCCAGAGGACAGCACGGTCTGATCCAGCCCTGCCCTGTGGCCCCAGAACAGGCACGGCACCTCTCTTATGCTTTGCAACCCCCCCCAAAATAAAAATGGGTCTCACATGCCCTATTCTTAAAATGAAGACACTGAGGCCTGTGAAGAGGAAGTAGCATGCCGGCCAGAGGTCACTATCATGGGGTGGAAGAGTCCCCTAAAATTCCTGTCCACCCAGAACCTTAGAAAAAGACTTTATTTGGGAAAAGAGTCTCTGCAGACATGATTAGTTAAAATGTGACCAGATGGGAGTTGGGCGGGCGCTACATTCAGTGACTGGGGTCCCTCTGAGAGAGGAGAGGACACCCAGAGGCACGTGGAGGAGGCCATGGGAGGAGGGCAGCAGAGATGTGGGGACGTGGCCATGAGGCAAAGAGCACCAGGAGCCCTGGGAGCCCGACACGGCAGGAAGGACCCTGCCCAGAGGCTTCAGAGGGAGGCCGGCCCAGCCCACCCCTGGATTTCAGAGGTCTGGCCTCCAGGCTGAGAGAATGTATTTCTGCTGGGTTCAAGTCCCCCTTGTCCGTGGCCATTTGTGAAAAGAGACCCAGAAAAGAGACAGTGTCCCCTAAGCAGTGGTCGGAGCTGGAACAGGGGTCCAGTCCTGTCTCATCCGGTCCCCCTGGGGTCCACGCCGACCAGCCCTGCGCTCCAACAGAGCAGCTGAGATGTGGAGTGCCTTGCCTTGCCCTGGGCCCCACCCCTAGGGATGGGGAGGAGCCCATGGGCTTCAGCGTGTCCTGGGCCCCTCTCAGGACAAAGTGTGTCCCCCTCTGTCCCCACCCAGTGGAACGCCCCCGTAGGCAGGGGCTGTGGAGAGCAGACGAGGGCCCATTCAGAAGTGGTGTGTGGTTCACTGATCACGCCGATGACAATTAGCATGGGTCTTTCCCAGGCCACGCTGACTCACGTGGTGGCAAGGCCGTCCTCCCCACCGCGGTGCTGAAACACCTAAGAAAGGAATTTCCGCACCACCCACACACCATCGCAACTTCGGCTTCTCCCCTCGACAGTTTCTTAGTTGCTGCTAAAAGGCTCGTGTAGGGGAGACACCAGGTGGGTCCAGGAAGCAAAGGCAACATCGTGATGTTTTCCAGGGGAGAACACATCCTACCTGCTGGTGTGTGCTGCCCCCGGGAGAGGTGGCGGGTAGCTAGTATTGACTAAACGACTCCCCAGGGACGCGAATTAAGGGAATGGTTTCGATGCAGCCCCAGCAGGTGGCTGTCACTGTCTCCAAGCTGTTACTGTCAAAACGAAAGCTGAGTCAGATCGAGATGCTCCCAAGGTCACCGTTCCAGAAGGAGCAGAGGAGGCCTATGTGATACCACAGTCTGGGTGCTCCTGTCCATCGCCGCCTCCCCAGAACATAAACTCCTTTGTGGCCCAGTTGAAAGCAGATCCTGGCTGACGCCAGGGCCCTGGAATGAGGACCGGGAGGGCCGGGGCCACCAGGGCAGAGGCCACCCAAAAAGACACCAGGGCAGTTGGCCACTCCGAGGGCTTCCTGCTTCACCAAAGTGAGCAAAATACTAGCGATCCTGTCATGTTTGACACAGTTGAGCGGCCTGTGGTGCTTTCTTCCTGAGACTGATGGAGAGGGCCTGACTCTGCGTGGCTGACTCTGAGGGCTGAGAGATGTGCACACCCCAGGGAATGAAGGAGAAGCTGTCCACTGCGTCCACTTTAACCAACTGTCTGGGCAACTAGCTTGCCAATCGATAGGCTCCAAACACCCCAACCCATATCTCTACCCCTCCTCTTCCCTACTCCTTGTAAAATCTGCAGTACCCCACCATCTCTCCTATAAGCTGAACTCAGGAGATGGTGCAGTCTGGAGGGCGTCCTGGCCTTACCAACAAAGCCCCGGTGCCCAGGGGGAAGGAGAGGGCAGAGGCAGGAGGCACCATGCAGAAAGGCCTTGCCCCTCCACTCCGGGCTGTGGGGCTGTCCTAGGAGCAGTGCTAGTGGTGTGGGTAAGAGCCCTCTTCAACCCTGTGTTCCCCGGACTTCACAGACTGCACCGTGAAGCCTTGCACCAAGCAGCTGCACCTGACCCTGGCCCACAAGTTCTACCCCCACCACCAGAGGACCCTGGAGCAGCTGGCCAGAGCCATTCACCCGAGCCACAGCTGCCAGTGGACTGCCGCACTTTACTCCCGAGACATGCGCTTCGTGCACTACCAGGTGAGCAAACCCGGGCCTGGGAGCCTCAGCCAGAGCCGCCTCCCCATGGGAACCAATGGTTGCCCACCCGACGGAGAGCTTACCCCCAGGAGCCCTCCCCTGGAGGCATTTCAGGAAAACGAAGACCATTTATGGTTGGGTTTTGTTTTTATTTTTTTTTTTTGGTTGGGTTTTTTAAATCATTTTCTCTTCTGTGCAATTTGGAACTCTCGTTCTTTTACATATGAGTGCAGACACACACACAAAAAAATTGAAAAAAGAATGGTAGCAATTCTGGCGATAAAAAACGGACTACTGCAAAAATCTACGAATGTATCGTATCGCTGATTAATTCGTTTAAATGATGATTTCAATGAAGCCTTATTGCAGGGCTTCCTACATTGATTGGCTTAAATAGAAAGTGTGCCGGGCTCCTTTCAGGCCCATGGAATTAGCATGAATGAATCCACCGTGTTCCATGTTGTATGAGAAATCATGAATAAACTCATGCCAAGGAAGGTGGATGTGAAAGTCTAATCACGCTCTAAGATCTTTCATATTAGAGATAAGTAAATAGTGATAAGAGATAGATAACAGATAGGTAGACACCAGAATTCATTTCCAAACCCATCCCAAGAATCCTGAGCCACGTTCTGGTACCCTCTGTCACCATTTATCACCAAAGGCCGGGACAGTGCCTTGGAGTCTTAGAACTCATCACGGGAGCCTAGAAGCAAGAGGCCCCTGTCATCCTTCTCCTGATACCATCTTTCTCCGCACAAGTCCTTGATTGAGACAGGAAAACACTTGCCTCTTTTCCAGACCCTCAGGGCCCTCTTCCAGTACAAACCTCAGAACGTGGACGAGCTGACACTAAGTCCCGGTGACTACATCTTCGTGGACCCCACTCAGCAGGAGGAAGCCAGCAAGGGCTGGGTGATTGGGATCTCCCAGCGGACGGGCTGCCGGGGCTTCCTACCCGAGAACTACACAGAGCAAGCCAGCGAGTCTGACACCTGGGTTAAGCACAGGTGAGTGCTGCCTCCAGCGACACCCCAGACATCATTCCCTGAGTTAATGCCCAAGAATGTCCTTCTGAAAACAGTGGTTGCCATATTTGTATGCTTCTAGATCATTCCTTCGTTGGTAAAAATTGCTTTCTCCATGCTGGCGACATTATCCCTGCAGGTATACAGTACATATTCTGGTCAATTCATGGTTTTCTGAGGATGGTGTTCAGAAAACATGAATTACTCTCTTTGTCTTTTGACATCATAATCCCAAAATGACTACAAAAACAACTTCCTTATTATGGACATAAGAGATCATACTCAGAGATCCTAAACTTGGCTTTATTTTCCTCCTGCTCAGTGTGTCAACTGTGAAATCTATTGCTTTACGCAGATGACCATGAACTTATCAGCTAAAGCAACGCACATTCAATATCTCCTAATTTTCATGCATCGGGAGTCTGAGCATGCCTCAGCTTGGGGTCTCCCAGATTTGGGCCAGGGCTAGGGTCTCATCTGAAGCTCGGGGTCCTCTCCTGAGCTCACATGGTGTTGGCAAAACTCATTTCCTGGAAGCTATAGGCCTCTTGGTGGCTTGCTTCTTCACGTTCAACTGGAGAATCTCTTCACTTGAGCATTTTTAGCATCATCTGGAGAGGCTGAGGTTGATTGGAATCATCAGGTATTGGTTCCTTTTGTCCAATTCTCTTCCCTCAATCTCTCTCCTGACATGCGTCACTATGAGCAACAAGAAGAAAACGGGCCACGCTTTTAACACTGTGCTTGGAGATACTCTGTGCTACACGACCAACTTCACTGCTTCTAGCTTCTGCTTTCCACCAACAATTTCACTCAACTTTTCACCACTACATGCTAAAAGGTCCCCCAAATTCAGTTAAGGTGTAGCCAGAGAAGTAGAACAGAATAGTAATTTATGTATATATTATATATGTATAAATGTACATATATTATCGTATATGTCTTGTACATATGTAATATAAATATATTTATACATATATATTTTATTGTTAATACATGAAAATTATGAATTGATAATATAATAGTTTCTATTTATGTCATATTATTTATGTTATGATACATGTATATGTTACGCACCACGTATATACACATCCATTTAAGGATTTATTACAAGGCAGTGCCGTGTGTGAGTCTTGGAGTTAGCTCCACAGGGGTAGGCAGGCAAGAAGGGAGGGAGTGAAGGAAACCATGGAAACCACATAACCTCTGGAAACCATGGTGATCGAAGTGCTTGTCTCGGTGTGACAATCAGGACAGACTCCCCAGGCAGACAGGGAGCAGTTGCAGACACAGCTGCTACTTGGAACCTCTTAGGGTCAGAGAAGCCCTAAGCCTTTTTTTAAAGACCTTCCAACTGAATAAGTCAGGCCCACACAAGATAATCTCCCTTTTGATTAACTTAAAGCCAGCTGACCAGGGTCTGTTTTTTAATTTTTTTTTAATTTTTATTTATTTATGATAGTCACACACACACACACAGAGAGAGAGAGAGAGAGGCAGAGACACAGGCAGAGGGAGAAGCAGGCTCCATGCACCGGGAGCCCGACGTGGGATTCGATCCTGGGTCTCCAGGATCGCGCCCTGGGCCAAAGGCAGGCGCTAAACCGCTGCGCCACCCAGGGATCCCCTGACCAGGGTCTTTAAGAGCATCTGCGAAATCTCTAAGCAGCACACAGCTTAGCGTTTGATGGGATAACTGGGAAAAGGTGCGCGTGTGCTTTCCACCGTGACCTAAACTGTCTGTAAAAGAGATCATGAAATTATGAAATAAGGTATTAGTGAAATAAGTTGTGATACATCCATATAGAATACTCGCAGTGCTTAAAAATGGTCAAGAGGAAGTTTTTTATGTGCTGATATGAAAAAATCCGAGACGGGTTGCTGAACTGTGTGTAGCACAGAACTATTTGCGGGGAAGGGTGAAGCGGAACACAACTGTCTGCACATGTATGTGTGTGATATGTATTTCTATGCATGCCTGTGCCTAAAAGTTCCCTGGAAAGGAGCATCTCTAGAAACTTCTAACAGAGGTCGCCTGGGGGTTGGGGGAAGGGCTGGGAGAAGGAAGAAGACTTGGGAAGGAGACTGTTCTCTACCTCCCGTGATTTGTAAATATTTGAACCATATGTGTGCATTACTTATTGAAAATAAAAATTCACCCCATTTTAAATTTAAATAAAAGAATAGAAACACATCGGGTCAGAGAGAGAATAAATGGGAGAAGTCAGACAAATCCAGGGCTGGGGTTGCACACGCCATGCATGCCGGGAGATCCCCGCCTTCCCACACCCGATGCAGAAAGGGATACGGTTTCCACCAAATCATCTCAGCCATTCCAGATGCAGTAGACCAGTCATTTGGGAGAAGCACCTTTTTGCCAGGGTGGACATGGCCATGGGTCCTGTGGGCTACCTCGAAGTCACACTGGAGCCCCGCGGGACTGCAGAGCTAATCCAATACAGCCCCCTGTCCTGGAAAGCGGAGAACGCTCCGGCCCGGGAAAGTGGGGGAGGCCGGATGGTGTCACACAACTAAGGAAGCACCTGCTTTCCTTGAGAACCAACTCTGTCCATCACCAGGTCTCATCAATGCTTTAAGTAAATTGGGAAATTCTGGTCACGCCCCCACCGCTGTCTGAGTTCCAGGAGGAGCGGGACAGGTCTTCCACTCCCCGCTCAGGATGGGAGAACCTCACTGCCGTGGGCCAATTGGCAAACCCAGATGTTTCTAGAACTACACAGTGAAGACTCTGTAGAAGACAAGTGTGTGGCCATTATATGTTTTGCTTCGCAATCAGTCAACCACCTGCGACCAACGTAACCAATTAAGCCTGACATTTCTGGGACTAGTCTTCCTAAAGACAAGTTTTCCTTATGAATTAATAAACACCAAGAAAAATTGCAACAAAAAAGAGAGAAAACTAAGTAGTGGGCTCCCCCGTGGGGTGTCTGACTGGCCATGTTTTGAAAGCACCCCCATCCTCTCTGGAGGAGGACAAGACATGCTGACACACTGTGACGTGTGATTACAGGCCCGATGGCAGATCCCCAGCACTGCTGTCAGACTCCGTCATCCTGGCAAAGTCGCTTAGAACTGCCAAAAGTGTACCTTATTAAACACCGAAGTCTATTTAAATTAGAAGATGATCCTTGAATGATTGGACACATCACTAATCTGTTGAGTAGAGGGAAATGTGGTCTGGTGGCACCGTCCAAAGGCTAGCTTGTGGACACAACCTCCCCCTGCGTGGAGGTTTCCAGAACCTCCCCCTGCGTGGGCTGCAGGACTGGTACTTGGCATGTGTCACCTGCTGGCCTTACGGATGTGCCCAAGAACAGATGTGCACTTACCCTGGAGCAGCCCCTACCTGCCAGAGGGCACACCTTTCTAGGTATGAGTTTGCAGCCATGCGGTTCTGCTTGGCCACTGAAACATCCACCGCCCGTCACCAATTCAACTTCAGCCTTCTTGCTATGGTCCTGGGAGTCTTTGGAATCACTGCACGACAAAATCACACCCGAAACCTGTTGGTGACCTTGAAGGAGACGAGCGGTGACCAGCTTGATACGATGGGGGAGTGTCTTCAGGAATCAAAGTGGCTCTCAACGCTCCACATAGAAAATGTATGTCACATAATCCAGAACAAAGAGTGGAGAGGCCGGGAGTATTAGAGCTTGGAGAACAGTTTGTCTTCTGGCCAAGATGAGAGGATTTTCAGCACTGAAGCCATATCCACCCAGTAATTTCCAAAACCACAGAGCGCGTTGGTGGCAAGTACCTCGGATGTAATAAAGGTGCTATTGTGGGCTGAATTCTGCCTCAGATTCCTGTGTTGAAGTCCTGGCTCCCAGCGCCCCAGAATGGGACAGTAGAGATGGGGTCTTTACAGAGGTGATTAAGGGAGGAGGAGGTCACCAGGGTGGACCTGATGCAATCTGACCCGTGTCTCTATGAGATCAAGACACAGATGCACAGAGGGGGACGGCATGAGGACAGGGGGAGAGGACGGCATCCACGGGCCCAGCAGGACCTCGGGAAGAACCAACCCTGCCCACGCCTGGATCCCAGAACTTGGACCCCAGGACGGGGACAATAAATGTCTGTCGTTTCAGCCGCCCAGTATGCGGTGCCTTGTTACGGCTTCCCCAGGAATCTAATAGGGAATGTGGTCCATACAGCCCCACAGGCTACAGCTACGCCCCTTTTAAAAGCCAGGGAGAATGTAAACCCATCTACTTCTGTGGTCTGGGTTGACCATTAAGTAGTTCTCCCAAGAGAAAATCAGAAATATTTAAATGCCAAGTTCTTTCCTTTCACCTCTCATTGTAATCTTGATTATATTTCATTTGAAAGACAAGCGAAAAAACAATTTGGTTTTCTCTCCAACTGCAGTCTTCACAGATGTTATTTATAGATAAGGAGGCTCTGCTGTGCACACGTGGGGAGGCAGGAGCAGGGTGCAGGCCCCGCCTCATCCTCAGGAAGAGGAAACCCACCGAGGTTTCCTTTGTCAATTGGAGACCGTAAATGGGGCCTCAGCGATGGGAGGAGGGAGCTGTCAATGGTTTGGGCGTGGATACCTGTGCTCTCCGTCCACTTACGGCCAACTTCAGCCCTCACCTCTTGGGAGCTCGCCTCTGACCCTGAGAGTATGCGAGCAAAGGATCTAGCTCTACATGAGCTAGATCCCGCCAATGGGAGTTTCCAGAACAAAACAGGAGGGCAACAACCTGAAAATAGAAGGTACAACTTGCAGAACTGCACAATTTTGAGAAGTGCGTTCGCCAGTTGAAACACCACATGGGCACAAACGGTCCAGGGCGGTGATGGTGGAAGGCTGGTGGCTGGAGCTGGGGTGCAGGGGAAATGCTCCCAAGGAGCCCCCCCCCAGCTCTGGCTCTGGTCAGGTCTCAGCGTGGACACGTGGGGGCTAGCGGTAGTTGTGGGGGAATGGAGGACATGAGGTCCCTGGGGGGAAATGCAAACATTCACACACGGGCCGAGGGCGCAGGAACACACCGCATTTATGATAGAGGAAGACGAATCATGAATGCTATCAATTCCTCATGAGCATTCAGGTTTAATGAAATTCCAGAAAAATATCAATAGGATCATTTGCTGAAACTTCACTGGATGATTGAAAAGTGTATCTGGAAGAATGAATGGGAGAGAAACTCAAGAAACCTTGAAAAGTAAAAAAAGTAACGAGAGGAGCTGGTTACCCTACACATATTAAAAAGCTGTTATAAACCGATGATACGGTCCTGGCTTGGGAGAAGGAGGGAAAGCAGATCGGATACCAGCGCGGGAGGCCTGGCCTCTTCACACCTGCCGACGCATCAGAGGGAGAGGAAAGGGTATCAATGAGGGGTACTGGGGGTGGCCTCACCTCATATATGGAACTCAACCCAGGAATTAAATGGAAACAGAAAATCATATAAAGTGGAAGGCACTTGAAATGAATTTATTTCTGATTTCTGGACTGAGCAGAGCTTTGAAGCATAGAAGTGACAGAAGGAGTCTTCTTCAGACACTTGACAGATCGGTCTTTAATAGTGACTATCAAAAGCTTAGAATTTAAGGTTTCTGGGTGTTGAAAACCATAAAGTAGCCTACTATTGGAAGAGCAAGAGGAGAATAATGCTCTTCAGAACACAGAGTGAGGGACGCCTGGGTGGCTCAGCCTTTGGCTCAGGTCGTGATCCTGGGGTCCTGGGATCAAGTCCCACATCGGGCTCCCCGCAGGGAGCCTGCTTCTCCCTCTGCCTGTGTCTCTGCCTCTCTCTCTATGTGTCTCTCATGAATAAATAAATAAAATCTTTAAAAACAAAACAAAACGCAGGAGTGAGGGCAGTGTGCCCTTACCAGTCACCCCGGTGAGTGTGAGCACATCACCTCCCCTTCCGATCCTCCCACCAGCTACGGCCTGGGAGCTTCCGTCCTCCAGCGGATTTGTGTGAGATGTTTGCACTTCACCAAGACGCCACCTACCGGATTCATGAGTCCCGTCCACTGTGGCAGGTGAAGTCAGAAGCTTGTCCAACCAGCTCCGGCCACCAGGCCACCCACCTGCAGCCTCGGGCCACGTGCCCCTCTCCCCCATCAGACTGTGCTGTGTGGTCTGAGCTCCCGCCCAGGGCCACCGGCCCACAGTGCCTCACAGCCCAGCCCCGGGGCATCCCATGCCCTCCAAGGGCTCCGTGCCAGCACCATCTGCCATTCCTGAGACTTTCCCCCATCATTCCCACTGGCAACACACAGTGATCTTAAAAAAAGACTCAATCACAAACCCTTTATTTCCCTGTCTAGCTACTGCTCCTTTTCTCTGCTCCGATGGTAGATTTTTAAAGATTTTTATGTCTTTAAAATTTTTTTCATCATAAGTAAAAATATATATATATTTTTCCTTTTTTTTTTAATTGGAGTTCAATTTGCCAACATATAGCATAACTCCCAGTGCTCATCCCATCAAGTGCCCCCCTCAGTGCCCGTCACCCAGTCACCCCCACCCCCTGCCCACCTCCCTTTCCACCACCCCTTGTTCGTTTCCCAGAGTTAGGAGTCTCTCATGTTCTGTCTCCCTTTCTGATATTTCCCACTCATTTTCTCTCCTTCCCCCTTTATTCCCTTTCACTATTTTTTATATTCCCCAAATGAATGAGACCATATAATGTTTGTCCTTCTCCGATTGACTTATTTCACTCAGCATAATACCCTCCAGTTCCATGCTCATGGATTGGGAAAATGTCAATGTTACCCAGGGCAATTTACACGTTTAATGCGATCCCTATCAAAATACCATGGACTTTCTTCAGAGAGTTGGAACAAATCATCTTAAGATTTGTGTGGAATCAGAAAAGACCCCGAATAGCCAGGGGGATATTAAAAAAGAAAACCATACTGGGGGCATCACAATGCTAGATTTCAGGTTGTACTACAAAGCTGTGATCACCAAGACAGTGTGGTCCTGGCACAAAAACAGACACATAGATCAATGGAACAGAATAGAGAACCCAGAAGTGGACCCTCAACTTTATGGTCAACTAATATTCGATAAAGGAGGAAAGACGATCTACTGGAAGAAAGACAGTCTCTTCAGTAAATGGTGCTGGGAAAATTGGACATCCACATGCAGAAGAATGAAACTAGACCACTCTCTTGCACCATACACAAAGATAAACTCAAAATGGGTGAAAAATCTAAATGTGAGACAAGATTCCATCAAAATCCTGGAGGAGAACACAGGCAACACCCTTTTTGAACTTGGCCACGGTAATTTCTTGCAAGATACATCCACGAGAAACAAAAGCAAAAATGAACTACTGGGACTTCATCAAGATAAGAAGCTTTTGCACAGCAAAGGATACAGTCAACAAAACTCAAAGACAACCTACAGAAGGGGAGAAGACATTTGCAAATGACGTAGCAGATAAAGGGCTAGTTTCCAAGATCTATAAAGAACTTCTTAAACTCAACAGCAAAGAAACAAACAATCCAATCATGAAATGGGCAAAAGACATGAAGAGAAATCTCACAGAGGAAGACACAGACATGGCCAACAAGCACATGAGAAAATGCTCCGCATCACTTGCCATCAGGGAAATACAAATCAGAACCACAATGAGATCCCACCTCACACCAGTGAGAATGGGGAAAATTAACAAGGCAGGAAACCACAAATGTTGGAGAGGATTTGGAGGAAGGGGAACCCTCCTGCATTGTTGGGGGGAATGTGAACTGGTGCAGCCACTCTGGAAAACTGTGTGGAGGTTCCTCAAAGAGTTAAAAATAGACCTGCCCTACGACCCAGCAATTGCACTGCTGGGGATTTACCCCAAAGATTCAGATGCAATGAAACGCCGGGACACCTGCACCCGATGTTTCTAGCAGCCATGTCCACAATAGCCAACTGTGCAAGAAGCCTCGGTGTCCATCGACAGATGATGGATAAAGAAGGTGTGGTCTATGTATACGGTGGAACATTCCTCAGCCATTAGAAACAACAAAAACCCCCCATTTAACCCATCCCTCACCCACCTTCCCTCTGGTGACCAGCAGTTTGTTTTCTGCCGTTAAGAGTCTGTTTCTTGATTTGTTTCTCTCTTTTTCTCTTTGCTTGTTTGTTCTCTAAAATTCCCCACATGAGTGAGGCCACACAGTATTTATCTTTCTCTGACTTATTTCGTTCAGAATAATACTCTGTAGCTCCATCCATGTCGTTGGCAATATTTTGTTCTTTTTTATGCCTGGATAATAGTCCCTTGTATATATAGACCACATCTTCTTTATCTACTCATCCGTCGATGGACACTTGGGCCACTTCCATGTCTTGGCTGTTGTAAATAATGCTGTTATAACCTTTGGGGTGCACGGGCCCCTTTGAATCCGAATTTTTGTATCCTTTGGGTAAATACCTAGCAATGCAATTGTTGGGTCGTTGGGTAGTTCTATTTTTAAGCTTCTGAAGAACCTCCCTACTGTTTTCCAGAGCGGCTGCATCAGCTTGCGTCCCCATCCACAGCGCACGAGGGCTCCCCTTTCTCTACACCCTCATCAACACTTGTTTCTTGTGATGTTGATTTTAGCCAGTCTGACCGGTGGGAGGTGGGATCTCACGGTGGTTTTGATTTGCATTTCCCAGATGATGAGTGATGCTGAGCAACTCTTCATGTGTCTGTTGGCCATCTGGATGTCTTCTTTGGAGAAACGTCCGTTCACGTCTTCTGCCCATTTTTAACTGGATTATTTGTTTTTTGGGTGTTGGTTACAGATCATTTTAAAGTAGAACTTATAAAGATGATCTCCCCTTTCATGAAATGAATTTCCCCTGGGATACTTAGCCATTTGCTTATTCTTGGAGGATGTAAGTGACTGTTCCCTCTCCTCCTCTGGCCCCTCTCCCTGTTCCTTCCAGACACACTGACTTGGAGCACCTGCCATGACCGCCCTCCTGTCCTGGAGTTCATACTACTCTAGTTAGCTATGATCTTTCCCCTCCATCCTCTTCAGGTCCCCTGATTCTGTGCCCACCTCGTGGCATCATTCTTGGTTCATTGGACAGGTGGCAGTTTCCTCACCACCTGCAACTCCTTGGGTACTGTTTTCCCCAGCATGCACGAAAGGCACCCCCCTTCCTGTGTGTTTCCCTGCATCTTAATCTCTCTTCATGGCTGCTTCATTCTTGTATCCCAGCCACATCCATCTTCACGCCTTTGCTGTCTTAGAAGGTGAACCTACAAGGATGGTGCACTAGTTTGCCTGGGTTACTGGACCATGTACCCCAGCCGGGGGCTTAAACAACAGACATCTCTTCTCTCAAGGTCGCAGGCTGCAAGTCCAAGATCGGGGTGTGGGCAGGGCTAGTTTCTCCAGAGGCCTCTCCTTGGTGTGTAGTCGGCCACCTTCCTGGTGCCTTTTCATGGTCTTTCCTCGGGGCCAGCATCCTTGGTGTTTCCTCTGCGCCTCCTACTCTCTTCTTATAAGATTGAATTGGGCCACCCTGCCGGCCTCATCTTACCTTAATTACCTCTTTAAAGACCCTGTTTCCAATAGTCATACTCTGAGGTCCTGGGGCCAAGACTCTAGATGTCGAGGGGCCATGATTCAGCCCATAACAAGATTTACTCAGGAGTTGTTATGTGCTGAGCACTGGGCTCTTCGAACACACTGCTGCGTTTTGTCCCCAACAGTGACCTTCCTTGCCCATCTCGTCATGTGCGTTCCCACGCACACGCATGACCAGATGCAGACGGTTGCTTCCCAATGTCTTGAAGACAACAGCACACTCGTTTCTTCTCCCACAGGACATACACCTTCAGCCTGGCCATGGACCTGATCTCCAGAAAGGACGGTGAGGCCAGCGGCCGGCGAAACGGGGAACTCCACGCTTCACAGATGCCAAGGGGCATTAGCAGCATCCAGGCCTTACAGGTGATGGAATTCTCTGTTTTGCAAGATGAACGAAGGGAAATCACACTTTATATTAACTCCGTGGTAGACTCGGCCCCTCGGGTACAGCCCCAGCCCCGGGTGGCTCGGCAAGAGCCGTGCCCTGCAGTGCTGAGGGCCTGGCCGCACTGCTATGTCCACCCTGGGCAGAGGGGTGGTCGCCCCACGCTGTGAGCCTCTGCAGGCAGCCTCCTGGGCATTGCAAGAACATGCAGCATGTGCTTTTAACTCGGGGGATCACGGCACCAGGACAGGGGCAGGGAAGATGCAGGGACACAGCCCTGCCCAGAATCCCAGACTCCTGCACCAATTCTCTCATGGGCCAGCTGTGTGACCCTGTGGGGGTCGCCTCCCCCAGGGCCCCGAAAGATGGGGGTCTCTCAAGTCAGTGCTAGGAGAGAGGAAGGGACTGGTACTTGGTAACCCGGAGGGCCAGCCGCCACAGGGCCAGGCTCAGGGGCCCAGCGGGGACACGTGAGCCCTGCCACCTGCGAGGGGCACGTCCAGGAGTGAAGCCTCCCCGCAGGGCCTCCACGGAGAAGACTGTCCCTCCCCAGAGGCGAACAGGTGACACGGAATCCTGGCGCTGTCAGGGTGGTGGGCAGGCTGGCCCTCAGGCCGCTTACCCAGGAACCCCGGGGGGCAGGGCAGCTCCTGCAACTAGCCCCTGGCCACCCCCCACTTCAGGGGAGATGCCTCTCAGACCTGCGTAGTTTCCCCAGCGGCACCTCCACATCCTGCCTCCTCTGCCCCCACATCGAGTTAGGACTTCATCCTTGCCACCCCCAGCTGCCTGGGAGATGTCACTCCCCATTTTACAGATCTGGAGACTGAGACTTATGGAGGAGACGAGAAGCTTGTGCGGGGCGCTCAGACACCTAAGCACCCCTGAACTTGGCTGTTGGAGGATTCCATGGGACAAGGCGCCCACAGCAGGCCTGGCCCCCGGTGCTGAGGGTCTGTTCCTGCGCAGAGGGCAGGGCTGTGATGTCTGACTCCCCCCTGTGTCCCCAGCACCTGGCTCCGGGCCTGGTTGGTAAATCTCATTGGACGAATCACGGAATGACCTAATGAAGGCCCTGACGGGGGCTTATGAGTGAATCGCCCTAAATCCAGAGCTCACCCCTCTTCCCCAAGAAGCCACCAGTCCCTCCTGGGGGGGGGGGGCTTGGTCCAGAAGAGCACTAAGCATTGGATACTGGGTGCTGGGAAGGCCACGGAGCATCCCCTTAGACAGGCCTTCAGCTGGAGGGAACAGCCTGGGCACAGCAGCTGCTGGCCGGGAGCCCAAGACAGACAAAAACGGGGCTCCCCTACGCAGACTGCCCAGACTCTGGAAGGCATGACGGAGCCTGGACTCGCCCCCCGTAGTGAGGTTCAGGAGAGCAGGCATAGACTGGGGTGGGGCTCCCTGAGGCTGTGCCCCCCCCCCCGCCCCTTTCCAGATGGAGGACAGGAAGCTGGAAGGGAAGGGTCATAGCTCAGCCAGAGTCTGAACTTGCTGCAGCTTTAAGTGGGTGAAAGCCTAGCAGACATCTCCCCGCGAGCCGGACCCTCCTCGCCTGGTGTGAGCCCCCCTCCTCCATGTGCTAGGAAAATAAAGCTGGCATCCGCTTTGAGACGCGGGCGCTAGCAGGCTGAAGAATGGCCCCAAACATGAAGTCCTACCCAGTCCCTGGAACCTGCGCGTGTTCTCTTAGCAGGAAGAAGTGTCTTTGCCTGTGGGGCTGAGCTAAGGGTCCTGATGGGGAGCATCCCACGGGCCCTAAATCCAAACACAGCTGCCGCTTGGAGAGACAAACAGGGTGTCTGATCCAGACGGAAGAAGCGAGCACACAGATACACAGAGGAGGAGGCCTTGTGAGCGTCGGGGCACAGACTGCAGTGTCTCCCCCAAGGCCAAGGACTGCTGAGGCTCCAGGAGCTGAGGAAGCCAGGAGGGATCGCTCCCTAGAACCTTAGGGGGGACGGCCCTGCTGACACCGTGATTTTGGAATACTGGCCTCCAATCTGCGAAGGAACCCATGTCTTCTGCTTTGCTACAGCAGCCCCGGGCACCTCATGTGCTAAGAGGCAATGCAGTCCTGGTGTCCCATAGACCCCAGGAGCTAGGCCATTCCACTCCCCCGTGGACCTTGCACTTTATCTGAATATTCCTATTGCAAAGAGGGCTTTGCATTTCAAAATTCAAATGCTCTCAGCTCCTCCAGGGAAGAAAATGCTCTAAATTCAAAACCTCAGCCCAAAGCATCAACGGTACGTGGAGACCGTCAGTAAGCAGACTAGGCCTGGGAGCCCATGCATGCCCTGCAATCTGCTTGCAGAGCTGCCCTTGACAGGGGCAGGGGATGAGATATTTTAATGTTCGTTCTCCTGGGGAAAGGCATCCTGGTGCCCATAAGCATCGACCATACTTCGCTATTAGAAGACAACAAGACAAGCTTCCCTTTGGAGCTCTGCCCTAGAAGGTGTGCGTTTGCCTCCGGAACCAAGCATCTGCACACCGTATTAAGGGACCATCAGAAGATTTGCTTTGCCTTGACCATATGTCCATTTTGGAGAATCGGCCCCAAGGCCCCGAGAAACTGTGCATGGGGACTTGGAAGGTCCCACAGCCTCAGAAGCACATTTCAGGCACACGTCGGCATGCGGTCAGACCCACCAAGAACGACGAGTGGGTAAAGCCGCTGGAGACTGACTCGCCCAGATGGCCGTGGAGCTACGGGGGATGCTGGCCCCACGAACACCGTGAGGCAGGTGATGTCCTACCTTATCCTGCCAACAAACTCGGGGAAGTGCAGGAGAAAGCAGGCAGATGGGCCTCCATGCTGAGGAGGGCCATGTCTTGCCACCTCCCTTTCTTACCTCGCTCAGCAGCAAAGACAGACAAAGTATCAGCTCCTTCATTTTCACCCTAAGCCCAGCCTCAAAGAGCTGTGAGGCCAGGGGTGGGGAGCGGGAGAAAAGCGTCCACCTGAGGAAAAGGAGCTGGGCAAGGACAAGCAGAGCACCAGCTAGAGCTCCCCCCTGCCCAGACACCCTTCCCATTCTGGCCCTCCTTGGTGAGCTCGGCCAGCCCACCCCTGCTTACTGTAACCCATCCATCCCGCTGACCTTGGCCTGTCCATCTTGGTGATTTTGGTCTGTCCTTCCCTGGTGACCTTGGCTCTAGGCATGACCAAGTTCCACGTCCCACCTGAAGTCCTCCCAGCCCACCTCCTGTGAGAGGTACCGTCAGCTGTCTCTCATCCTCCTCTATGACTCATCTTTCCATGTTTGTCCTTTGGTCCCAGTGAGCTCAGAAGCTCCCTAAGTGGGGAGTCTGTGAGCTGAAGCTTGTGCCCCAGCCTCTGATATGCTTGCTCCCAGTATTCTGGGCCCCAGGATACGACCAGCAGTATCTATAGAGAGAGAAAATATGTAATATCTATTATACGATAATAATGTGTATAGAAATGGAAAATGTTCCAAGACATCACCATGGAGGGATGAATGTTTGTGTCCCCCCAAAATTCATATTTTGAGATCCTAACCAGCAGTGTACTAGCATTAGGAAGTGAGGACCCTGGGAGGTGGTTAGGTCAGGAGGGTAGAGCCCCTATGATGGGGTTAGTGCCCTTATACAGGGAACCCACAGAGGTCCCTTGCCCCTTCCACCCTGTAAGGACCCAGCAAGAAGTTGGCCCAGAAGAGGGCCCTTGCCCAATCATGTCAACACCCTAATCTCAGATTTCCAGTCTTCAGAACAGTAAGAAATAACGTCTGTCGTTTACGAGACCCAGTCTGTGGTGTTCTGTTACAGCAGCATGGAGGGACTAGGACAGCGGTAAGGACTTGGAAGAAACAGAAAGGTAGAAAAGTTGATGGACTCTGTATGCTATGGGATGTTCCTATTGCCTGTCATTTCCTTGTAGTAGTGTCATGATGCCCAGGAAATACAAAGTTGCTAGAAATGAAAGAGAGTTCCACCTGCAATTCCTAATCTTCTTTCATTGCAATTCCTTTGGTGAATTGGGCTGTAGCCACTGAGCAAGGAAGGAAGAGATCCCGTTTCTAGGCCACCTGTCGTATGGTGAGGGGGAGGTGCCCACTGAATTAAGTCGAAGAATGCAGATGTAAAATTGCACATGTCTTTCCTTCCACCACCTCAGGCCACGATAGCGAGGAGGAGCGTTCTGGTGGTGCGCCATGGGGAGAGAGTGGATCAAATCTTCGGGAAGTCGTGGCTACAGCAGTGCTCCACTCCTGACGGTAGGTAACGTCCCGGAAGAGTCTAAACCCAGGAAGTAGATGTATCTAACAAACGGCACCCTGCTCGGCTTCCTGAGCCAGATCTCCCATGGCACCATTCTTGAGAGCGACTCCGCAGAGCTAATGTATGTGGGAGGGGTACATGCTCCATCTTTCGCCACGGGCATTGTCCATGTGCGCTGAGGGTGTACGCCGTCTGTAAGCACCTTACTGCAAATGCTTTGTGGAAGATGGAGGAATGGTTACCAATAGGCAGCAGCCTGCTGGTGTGACGCACGGATGGTCACCTTTATTCTGGACGCACACATAGTGGTAGTGGTTCATGAGAGTAGCATTGAGAGCGTGTCACTGTGCCCTGCAGTCTCTGAACTCACCTGCTGGCACGACCCTATCTCCCAGGCTCATTGCTGCACTGCTGTGGCCACTTGTCTACAATATTTAACTGTCCCACTCAACTCACGGACATATTCTGAACATGCAACTTCACCCCCCGGATTCCGAGATCTAAGTAGGGACCGTGCTTGTGAATACAGCAAACCCACAAGCCGTCTCTACCAATGAGCCACGTCTGTGCCAATGCACGTCCCTTAATGGAAAGCCCAGCACGCCACTATTTCTAAGCCATAGCTAACTGTATAAATGAAGATACTGAATGAGCATAGTGAGATTCGCAGTAGCTGGGCTAGCTAAGCTCTTTTTGAATTCCTCCCAGAGCCCAGCAGGCCGAGAAGAAGGGGAAATGCTTAGGGAAAACCATGGGCAGGTGCTCAGCCCACAGCAGGAAAATTCTGAGCAGATTACATCATGACCGGGATGCCTGGGTGGCTCAGAGGTTGAGTGTCTACCTTTGGCCCAGGGAGTGATCCTGGAGACCCGGGATCGAGTCCCACGTCGGGCTCCCTGCATGGAGCCTGCTTCTCCCTCAGCCTATGTCTCTGCCTCTCTCTCTTGCTGTGTCTCTCATGAATAAATAAATAAATAAAAATATGTATGATACCACTTCATCTTTATCCATTCACCTATCAATGGATAGTTAGGCTGCTGCCATAATTTGGTTGTTGTAAATAATGCTGCAATAAACAGTAGGGTGCATGTATCCCCTCAACTTAGTGTTTTTATGTTTTGGAGATAAATACTCAATAGAGCAATTACTGGATCATAGGTAGTTCTATTTTTAATTTCGTGAGGAACATCCATACTGTCTTTCACAGTAGCAGTGAAACTTTCACCAGTTTGCGTTCCCCACAAGAGTGCGTGAGGGTTCCTATTTCTATGCATCCTTGCCAACGATTGTTTGTTGAGTTTTTGACGTTAGCCATTCTGACAGGTGTGAGGTGGTATCTCATTGTGATTTTACTTTGCATGTCCCTGATGATGAGTAATGTGGAGCATCTTGTCATGTGTCTGTTGGCCATCCGGATGTCTTCTTTGGATAAATGTCTGTTCATGTCTTTTGCCCATTTTTTAACTTGGGTCTTTTTGTGTTGAGTTCTATAAGCTCTTAGATATTTGGATCCCTACTCTATCGGATATATCATTTGCAAATCTTTTCTCTCACTCAGTAGGATGCTTTTAATTCTGTTGGTTGTTTCCTTTGCTGTGCAGAAACTTTTCACCATGATGTAGTAAACCTAATAGTTTACTTTTGGTGGTGTTTCCCTGTGGAAGCAGGTTGTGTAACAAACAGATTGTTCTCTATAGTAAAGAGTCTGTTGGTTGGTTTGGATCTCTCTGTTTTCTTCCCTTTGCTCCATTGTTTTGTTTCTTAAATTAAATGTGAGAGTGAAGTCATACGGTGTATCTTTCTCTAACTTAGTTCACACAACACAATACTCTTTAGCTCCATCCATGTCACTGCAAATGGCAAGATTTCATTCTTTTTGAGGGCTGAGTAATATGTATATTCCATGTTTTATATATATCCCACTTCCTTATCCATTTACCAATGAACCCTTGTCTCCTTGCATAATTTGGCTATTGTAGATAACACAGCTATCAACATTGGGGTGCACGAATACCTATGAATTCAGCCATAAAAAGGAATGAATTCTTGCCATTCACAGCAACATGGATGGAGCTAGAAAGTATAATGCTAAATGAAATAACTCAGTCAGACAAAGACAAATACCATAGGAAGGGGATTAAGAGGCATAAACTTCCAGGTATGAAACAAATAAGTCATGGAGATAAATGCTGCAGCATAGAAAATATAGCCAACAATATTATAATAATGTTGTAGAATGACTAATGGTGACTACTTATCTTAGTGAGCACTGAGTAATGTAGCTAATTGTTAGATCATTATGTTGTTCACCTGAAAGTAATATAACATTGTATGTCAATACCTCAATAATAAAATAGAAATAAATATAATAAAATATAAAGCATAGTTGTTGGAGACAAATAAATAAATAAATAAATAAATAAATAAATAAATAAGAATATTTTTTTAAAAAGATTACATCATGACCAAACGTATCTGCAAGGACCCATGAAGTGATGCTCAGGTTGTCTCTGTAAAACAAGATCAATCAGAAAAAAAAAAAAAAAAAAAAAAAGATCAATCAGAGACACAAAGGCTCAGGATAGAAACAATAGGACAAGAGGTGGATATGAGGTGAACTGGCATTCACACATGCAGTTAGAAGAAACTTTCTTGTAGGACAATGGTTGGAACCGCAGACTGAAATGGCACCCCACGTCAGCGTGCGTGTGGTGGTGGGGTGAGAACCCACATGAAACAACCAGCCCCCGAAGCAGTTATGGGACGTCATGGAAAGAGGAAGAATATTGGTCCTCCAGACAAAAGACTGAGTCACCTCCAGGGGAGATATTTTAAGGTAACAGAGAATCCCAGCTTGAAAGAGGCTCCTGGTGGCTCTTTGTACCAGTCAAAGCCGCCCTTGATGCAGTGAACACTGACAGCCTAATTTGTCCTAATCCTACATATCACATGTTTAATCCATTACAATGGGATGTATGGGGGTGCTTCCAGCCTCTCCCCTGAGCCTCCTCATTTCTGCTCACTTCTGGGCCACGCATCCACACCTTGCATGGCCAGGTCACCCCCCGCACCTGTAAGCTCTACACCATCAGAATCTAACGTGGCTCCAGGTCCTTGTTTTCTTCTGGGCTTTCTCTGCCTCTCATGGATAGAGTCAATGAGAACAAGATACCCACATGGCGCTGGTTCACCTTTTGTGGATCATAGATGCCTTTGAGAATATAACACAGTTGACTGACCTTCTCTTGGGAAAAAAAAAATTCACTTTTCCCAGCAAACACGATGTATATTTTGGCATTTAATGAAGACCTTTCTTCGAACAACGTCTCTGCCAATGGAAGTTCCAGGGAGGGAGCTTTCAGGAAAATCGTGCATGAACTAGAAAAACCAAGGCGTTCAAAGTAGCAGGCTGCCTCCCTGTGTTCGTGAAGGGCTGGGCTGGCATGCTCCAGGCAGGGCATGTGACAGGGCCTTCCCCGGATATACAGCAGGTCTCAGAAAAAGATGACTCGGTTGCTAGAATCTGCTGGCCGCCAGGAGGCTTGGGATTGCTTGGGAGGACGTGAGAGCTGGACATAGTATAGCGTCCTCTGCAGGGGTGATGGATAATTACGGTGAGCTCAGGCTTACCACTTGTTGACCACTTCCCCTGAGCCAGGCCCTGGGGTCTGGGCATTATCACAGTGATTCATTGTAACAGCCTTATCATTTCCCCTCTTCACTGATAAGGGAGATTCAGTCAGTTGCCTCTAATCACACAACTAGTAACTGATGGTGCCAGGATTTGCACCAGCCTGTCAGGTCGTGGAGCTCAAGGTCAAACTCAGAGTGAACCTCCGCAGCCTCTAGATGGAGGGTGGGGGGAGTCCCCGCGGAGGCTCCTGATTTCCAGGTGTGCCTCAGCAATCGGCTCAATAACGCACAACGCAGGAGCATCCCGGCCCTGTGTACTCGGTCCCCGGAGACAATATGACACACTGTCAGCTCTGGGGGTCGTTAGAATTTCGCCTCCGCAATTAATGGCAACTTGGGATTCCTGTCAAGTTAAGCTAAATCAGTAATGGAGACACTCCATTCTTAATCAGGAAAAATTGTATTGAGTGAGTCTTTGGGAGGCGTCACCAGGGGACAAAGAGGGCGTCGTGTTTCCGGAGGCTAAAACCGTGTCTGTGTTTTAAGAAACGTGTGCTCAGGAAAGCACCAATATCTCACCAGTTGAATCCACCTCACAGAGCATATGCGAGAAAAAACACAGTTGAGGGACGCCTGAGTGGCTCAGTGGTTGAGCATCTGAGTGGCTCAGGGTGTGATCCCAGGGTCCTGGGATCGAGTCCCACGTCGGGCTCCCTGCATGGAGCCTGCTTCTCCCTCTGCCTGTGTCTCTGCCTCTCTCTCCGTGTGTCTCATGAATAAATAAATAAAACCTTTAAAACACACACACACACACACACAGTTGACAACAATTTAAGTGAAAGCGATAGTCCTGCTTCCGATATGGGTCTGGATCTTATGGGGGTTTAAATGTGCCCTAGGTTGATGCGCGGATCTGAACACCCGGTGTTTATTTATGCTGCAGGGAAATACTACCGACCAGACCTGAACTTCCCCTACAGTCTGCCCAGAAGGAGCAACGGTATCAAAGATTTTGAAAATGACCCTCCGTTATCATCGTGTGGGATTTTCCAGTCCAGGATGGCGGGTATGTGTGGGGGTCATGCTAGCGGGGAGGTGGTAACAGTGATCACAGCGACGATCATCACCAATGCCTACCGGGCCCTGGCGACAGGCCCACGGAGCCAGTGTTAGCTTCATCCCCACTCTGCTGATGAGGACGCTGAGGCACAGAGAGGTTAAGTCAGTTGCCCAAGGTCACGTAGCCAGCGAGTGGAAGTGCAGGGATTGGACCCAAGGGAAGTCAGGAGGAGCAAAGGACAGGCACGGAAGGAACGAGAGTGGGGAGAAAAACCAACGACCACTGCGTACACTACGATGTCAGTTTAAAAATTTAAAAAGCACATCCTCTCTTTGATTTTATTTCAAAATCTGTCTGTTTGGGCTTGTGCTTTATGTCTGGGGTTCTGGTTCCACATGAGTGGCTTTTTGGGCCAAAGAAGCCAATGAATTCATCCGGCTTCCTTTAATGAATGAGGAAGAGAGGAAGGTGTGTGGGCCTGCGCGGGCCTGCTGACGGAGCCCAGGACCTGCGCTCCCGTGTCCCTGTGGGCGGTGGTCGGCCTCTCCTTGGTTCCATAACAAAGTGCCAAAGGGGAGCGGCGTCACCAGCAGAGATTTATTCTCTCGAGGTTCTGGAAGTCCAAGTTCTCCCAAGGCCGTGAAGGCGTCCGCTCCAGGCCCCTCACCTTGGTGTGTGGACACCTCCCTGGGCACTTGCTGTCTCTATGTCCAAACCCCCTCTTTTACAAGGACAGAGTGGATTAGAGTCCCCCTAGGGACCGACCTCACTGAAGCTTGACCACCATTAGGAAGACACCGAAGAAGGTCACACGGGGAGGACCCCAGCATGTGAATTTGTGGCAACACAGGCCAGCCCGTGACAGCTTCCTCTACAGCCACACTGCCCTTGGCTCCGTGCATATATCCTACTGAGAAGATCCCCTTCTTTCCCAAGAATAGGGCCCTCTAATTTTGTGACATGGAATGTGGCCTCCAAGCTTGTCCTTCCATGAGCCTTGAGTAGTCTGAGTTCCCCGTTGCTGCAGCACCGATTACCAAACCTTAAAACAGCACCCACCTGTCGGCTCACAGCTCCGTAGGGTGGGAGCCTGGGCACGGCGTGGCTGGGTTGTCCACTCGGGATCTCCCAGCCTGAGAGCCAGCTGTCAGCTGGGCTGAGCTCCCATCTGGAGGCTCCTGGAAGCACTTCCAGTTTCTCCCAAAAGGTTGTCGGGGGGATCCTATTCTGTGGGGCTGTAGTACTAAAGGCCTCATTCCCCTGCCGACTGTCAGCAAAGGGCAGCACTCAGCGCCCAGCACCCTCCAAGTTCCCTGCCGCGTGGCCCCCTCCATCTCTGAGGCCAGCAATAGGGAATCTCTTGCATGTCGGATACCCGTATTTTTTTCCTCTGGAGAAGGAGAGGGAGAGATAGAATCTTAAGCAGACTCCCTGCTGAGTATGGAGCCCCTGACACGGGGCTCGATCTCATGACCCTGACATCATGACTTGAGCCGAAATCAAGAGTCAGATTCCTAACTGACTGAGCCACCCAGGCACCCCTCAAATCGCTGTACTTCTGAATCTCTCTGGCTTCTCTTCTGTGACAGCCTGAGGAAAATCTCTGCTTTTAGTGAGCTCACCTGAATGGTGACAACCCCCTCCTGCCAAATGACACAATGCAGACCCAGCAGTGCCACTTCATCTCATTCACAGCTTCCAGCCACACTCAAGGGGCTGACAGGGTTGTGCACACCAGGGGGCGGGACTCCTGGGGCCACTTAAGGTCCTGCCTACCGCAGGTATGAGCCACCCATGGGAGGCTACAGTTACAAAGAGGTGTTTCCCCACCTGCTGTTTTCCAGGGGAAGCACTACTGGACAGTGGCATCAGAGTCACCTCCGTCTTCACCTCCCCAGCCCTCCGCTGTGTGCAGACAGCCAAGCACATCCTGGAAGGTCGGTGAGAACTGCAGTGAGCTCTCACGTAGCCTTGACCTTGTGGTTATACTCCACGGGCAGAGGGGAGTGAATGGGGTAAGATTTGGACGAGTGGTGACGTGTGGCCATGTAGGGAGCAAGAGGGTCACGGAGCAGCCCTCCAGGAGCTGTTGGCAGGCACTGAGCCTGTCAACCTTTCTGGAATGCCAGGATTGTAACTGAGTGCCAGGAGCCTGTCGTCACGCTGTCCACCTTGGGCCTGCATCTGCCATATGTGTTAAAAAAAAAAATCTGAGGAGGGGCAGTCAGAACCCAGAGTTCTGGGAATGGCTATGGTGCCTTTTGAGCCCAAAGCCCGTGGCTCTTGCCAGGGCAAGGGGATTGGCTACTGGGAGCTGCCCAGCACCATCAAAGGCTGGTGTCCATTGGGAAGCCACCAGCAGGCCTCCTGCAGCTTCGGCCTGCAGGAAAAAAGAAATTTCTTGCCAGAGAAGGGCAGCCTGTTCTGGGGGCCTTGGTTCTGCACCTCCCGCTGGACCCCTGCCCTGCCCTCTTGTGTGGGGAAGGGGGGGCATGGTGTAGTTCACAGGGCAGTAGCACAGGCCGCTGCTCCACAACGATGGGATGGAAGGCAAAGCAGGTGGACACAGACGTAGCAGGTGTGCAAACGTGGGGAGGGGGCTTGCCTCCACTTCCTCAGAGACAGAGGGAGTCGGGCCAGCAGCCGGAAGTGAGGACGGGAAGGCCTTCTGGAGGTTTGGGGCGCCGAGGTGCTATGACATACCTATCAGGTCACGGTGGGGAGATGGAGGATGGCGACTGGGCGGCCCGACGAAGGGCCCACCGAGGTCAGCGAGCACGACTTTACATGCAGACCCGCCCACCAGCTGGGCCTGGGGCTTTCCTGCGAGCACAGATGTGGGGGGCAGGTGGACAGCTGGATCTCACGACGGGTGGGCTTGAGAAGTGCGATGAAAAGCTCCCAGAAATATTTCCTGGTGGGGATGACGTCAACGCCTCTAGTAGGATCCCCGATGGACTTTGAGTCCTTGTTGTTATCATGATGCCTGAGAGAGTCACGAGCAGAAAGAGGAGGGCGCTCAGCCTTCTTCCCGGGTCCTGGAAGCATCTGTTTCCAGAAGGACGTGTGAGATGCTAACCTGCTACCCTTAATTTCAACGCTGTGTCAGTGGCCGTCTGGATGGACTGTTTCCCAAAGCGTGACCCACTCTGGCTGCAAGGTGGCTCCCCAGAAGGGGTGGCCACATCCGTCTGGGAACTTCTCCCACTGTTCCTTCACGTGACCTATTCACGGTGGACACGGGTGCTCCACAGGCTAGAGAGAGCTCAGGAGTCTGGTTAGACCATGGAGCTCCCTACCTAAGTGTGCTCTGTCTGGCAAAGGAACCTGCTCCACGGACCTGGGATGCAATTTGGGAACAGATTTTATTCCCAACAGTTGAGCTTAATGACATTTGCTCCACTTCAAATGAAAACATTCCTCATAGGCCCTGCTCACAGAGCTGGCCTTACATCACAGGTCTTCTAGTCAAGGTATGAAATGCTCGGGAGGGGTAGCTGGGAGAAGTCAGGTGTCCCGAGGGACCTTCGCCTTCTGCGCAGTCTGGGCTGTTTGTCAAAGTGGTGCCTCGATGTGACTAATGTGCTCCCCAATCTTTTCCATGGATTATTGGGTTGGCCAATGTGGTGTGCTCTCACTCTTGGCCGAGGACCGGACCCGGTGCTGGTCTGGCTGTAGAGTTGTATTGGACCATCAAGGTGAGCACCAGGGTGAGCCCAGCTCTGGTGGTGGCTCGCAGTCCTGGTCCCTTCCTGACGGACAGGGATCACCGCTCCTCGGATACCTTCCAACAGCCCGGTGGGTTTTGACTCAGAACTAGCATGGCTAAAAATAAATAAATAAATAAAATTTAAAAATTTTAAAAAAATAAATAGCATGGCTGTGAGTAATCACAGAACAATACTTGCCAAGAAAGAAAAAACAATGCCACTTTTTTAAAAAGATTTATTTATTTATTTATTTATTTATTTGGGGAGAGGGAGGGGCAGAGAGAGAGAATCTCAAGCGGACCCCCACCCCCGAGTGTGGAGCACAATGTGGGGCTCAGTCTCATGACCCTGAGACCATGACCTGAGCCAAAATCAAGAGTGAGAGGCTTGGGATGCCTGGGTGGCTCCATGGTTGAGCATCTCCCTTTGGTTCAGGGCGTGATCCTGGAGACCCGGGATCGAGTCCCGCATCGGGCTCCCCGCATGGAGCCTGCTTCTCCCTCTGCCTGTGTCTCTGCCTCTCTCTGTGTCTGTCATGAATAAATAAATAATTTTTTTTAAAAAAAAGAGTCAGGTGCTTAACTGACTGACCCACCCAGGTGCCTCCCACCCCAAAAAAAACCCCACTTTTTTTTTTAAATGGGTATAAGAAGAGACTCACTTACATGAAAAGCAAACTGAACTTGGAAGGTGACAAACACTCGTATTCTGTTGGCTACAGAGCTCAAACTGGAGAAGAAAATTAAGATAAGAGTGGAACCCGGAATCTTTGAGTGGACAAAGTGGGAGTCCGGCAAAACAACCCCGACCCTCATGACCCTGGATGAGCTGAAAGAGGCGGATTTCAACGTGAGCACGGATTATAGGTATGCCGTCCCCTCGCTTTCTGCCCGGGGCGGGGGTGCTTCTCTGGGTCTCGTTCAAGAAGGCATATTCACACCACTTGTTAAAGATGGTAAGGAAGGGAGGGGAGGGCGCTGCACGGGGGAGCAGAATGGGACCGGCTGCAGCATAACGAGGACGAGTGGGGGTGTTAGCAGTAGAGCGGGGTGGGGGGTGCAAAGGTATTGTGGGGGGAACGCTCCATAAACTGCTCCAGCAGCAGCTTGCGGAAGGCAGGCCAGAGTGCCAGGGGTGCCAGGACATCACCTGGGGGTGGCGGGGCATGGGGGAGGTTGCTCAGGTATGGAGGGGGAGCCCATACCATGGGGAGGGGGGCTCCGGTTTCACGGTATTCGCCGGAGTCTTGCTACTGAGTCTACACGGTTGGACACGGAAGCCCAGCCACAGGCCTGGGAGACTCGGGCTCCAGGAGCCTGGCTGGGGTGCGGTTGGGGAGCCAATTTCCCTCATCCTCTGCCCGTGGCCAACTCTTTGCCATCACAAAACCCTCCTGGTACTCGGGGAGGGCGCTGCTGGAGATCGGACGCCGGCGCTTTGCGGTTTGGGGGCACGCCACCCGGCTGCGTGCCCTGGCTCGAGGAGGGGCCCCCGGGCTGGGCTTCTCCTTCTCCAGGGGCCGCCGGCTCGCGGGCCACGGCGTGGCAGGCTCCTCTCTCTCCTCCTCAGGCCTGCGTTTCCTCTCGCCTCCCTCCTGCCAGCCGAGAGCTACGACGAGTATGTGGACAGGTGTGCGGTGAGCGTACAGCACATCATCAGCACCTGCCCACAGGACGGTAAGTGCCTCCCCGTCCCCGGCAGGGCCAACAACCCCCCCCCAGGCACTGGCCCATTTTACGCACCTAGGAATGCCCCCCACCTCCTCCTCGCCCCCCGCCCCAACCGTGTTGCGGGGCCCCAACCGTGTTGCGTGGCGGCCTCTGCAGGAGCGGGGCGCGTAGACACATGTCCCCTGCCACCCCGGGGACCCAATTCCAAGGCTGAGAGCCAACGGGACCCGGGACAGCGGGTCAGCACAAACCACGCACATCTGCTTCCTAGGGAACGAGAGCCTAAGGATGGAAGAGCCAGGTGTCAGGTCGCGTTTGAATGCCGCTTGGCACGGGGCGTCCGTACGCGCAGATGGTTGGGACCATCAGAAAAATTGCAATGTGGAATCTGAGTGTGGGAATACCTAAGAAACCGAGTGGATCCTGTTAGGTGTGACGGAGGTGGGTGGGGAGAGTCCTCACATGGCAGGGCCAGGGCAGGGGCGCGCTCCGACGGTGGGCAACGCGCGAATGTCACAACATGCGGCTCCAGGATGCCTCGGGCCCACCTTCGGGCCTCTCTGGGGATCTTCGAAAGTGTCCGTAGTAAAAAAAAAAAAAAAGTTGAAAACTAACCCTTAAAAAAATGTTAAGTTGGCAAGCGTGTCTGGTTGGTCAGCGCTGAGTCGGACGGCAGATGCAATGCCGCGGGGCAAACCTACGTGGAGGAGGCGCACACGCTCCCCTCGGGGAGTCCGAATATTTATTGTTGTGGAAAGGAGGAGCACAACATCTGGAATATTAGGAATTTTGAAGAACGTGAAGAAGCGTCTGGTAGGCGGTGAGAGGCCACCAGGCCCGCCTCCCCTGCCCTGGGTCCTGCCCACCCCTCACCCCAAGATGCGGGCGTAGGTGTCTTTGGCAAGGGGCGACCGTCTGGGCTCTCAGGGACAGCAGAGCACGTGGCCTCCCCGGAGAGCCGCTGGCGCCCCTGGGGGACGCGCACCCAGGCTCCCTGCGGGGAGGCACCTGAACCTCGCCGTAGCCGGTGCCCCCAATTTTGCCTGGCTGGCACCCTGGGAAGCCTACTATTGGAAACCACATCTCAGTGGCATTTGGTTGATTACCGAAGTCCCATTCGTCCCCGAGACCACATCGAGGCACCATAGGACGAAGATGACATCAGAGCCATCCCTACCGGGCTGGGGCCCTGCCTCCGCCCAACACCCTCCAGCTGATGACTCCAAGCCTGTCCTGAGCTGAGATTTGGTGTCCCCGGGATGCTCTGCCCCCCTGAGGACCCTCTAGAGGGGCGAGCCTTCCGGAACACGCCCTGGGATCTGCTCTAGCAGCTCCGGCGCCCGCGGGGCCCCATGTGGGTGCTCCTCACCTGCACGGGGAACACGGCCCTTCTGGCCCCCGTGCCCGACACGGAGGACGAGCAGGATTTGGAAGCAAACGGCGACCCAGAGGGGAGCGCGTGAGCAAGGTGGGAGGGTGACCGGTGTGGCAGGTGGCGAAGGGGGAATGGAAAACTCAGGTGGGCTGGAGGGTGAAAGCCAACACCTACGGGTCCCCGCGCAGGGGGCCCTTCCCAGGCGTCACCTGCTAACTGCCCACCGCCCTGAGCAGACAGTGACCCTCGTGACTCGGAAGCCGGGAGGGCTGAAGCCCGCCTGCCCAAGTCACCGAGAGTCCAAGCTGGTCCAAGCTGCGCGTCCCCGCCCCAGACGGCATCCTGGCCGCCGCACCGTGACTTCGGAGGCCGAGGCTACAGGAATGAACAGGAAAACACATCAGGGCTTCGGCCACGTTGGAGAACTTGGAGTCGAGTTGGGAGGCAGGCAGCGTGAACGGATTGTTCTGCATCCGCCCTAGCCTGCCGCGGAGGCCCGCCCCCGACCCCGTCCCCCAGGTGGATCCAGTGGGTCCCCCCGGCCGGAGACTCGCTCCACCCGTGGACTCAAGCGCGAGGCATCAGCAGGCTCATGGTGGCCACCTGGCTGCCCACTCTCTAGCTAAGGGACCCGGCCCGGCCGGCAGCCACCACTGCGTCCTGCAAGAGGCGGAGGCCTAGATCACAGTGCAGTCCCACCCCCGAAGCTCACGGCAGGCGCCGACACCCCCAGACCGTGCCCGAGGATGTGATGCGCCCCAGACTACGCACACGCAGTTACACTGCCTCCTACCCGGGGCCTCTCAAGGCTTTGTGCGTCACAAGGTGTTTCCCCCAACAACTCTGGGGACCCTCGTTTTTTTTTTAAAGAAAGAAAAAAGAAAAAGAAAAAGGCACTCCACGTGCCTCGTGTGACCCCAAGGTGTTCTCTCTCTCCAGTGGGCGTCATCCTGATTGTGAGCCACGGCTCGGCACTGGACTCCTGCACGCGCCCACTCCTTGGGCTGCCGCCCCGGGACAGTGGAGACTTCGCCCAGCTAGTGAGAAAGGTACGTGCCTGCCCCCTTCCTCTTTGGGCCAGGAAGTCCGGCACCCCGAGCACACAGGGTCATCGTGCTTCCTACTCATAGTGAAAACAGGAGTCGGGCCCACCCAGGGCAGCAGGGACCACCCCACCCACCCCGTCTCCTGAGAATGTGCACACCTGCTCTTCTGCAAAGGGCAGCCCTGAGCGGGGGGGGGCTGACGGGAGCAGTTTATCATCTTTAACATCATTATGGCAACTTTGGCCATTTGCTGCCCACATAATATAAAAAATCTAAAAAAAAAAAAAAATATATATATATATATATATATATATAAAATAGACCTGGTGATCCCTGGAAGTAGTTGTACAAATGGTCCAGGGAGGAGTAAGCCATGTGGACGCCAAGAGAAAGGACAGCTGCTGGCCTGGCTTGTTCTGGGGACTCGAGGGCGGGGGGCTGGAGGACAGAGAGGAAGCCATAGCCTCTTGCCTTCGGAGTCAGGCCACCATGGAACACACAGGCCTTGCAGGAGCCCACGTTCCCCGGGCCGGGCAGGGCTACGCAGATACTTACGGGTGACCCGCATGTAGAGGACAGTGGGAACTTTGCACCAGCTGGATGACCATCACCCAGAGGTCAGTGAGATGAATTAAGGCAGACACACGAGTGGCTCAGCCTCACCCCCTGCTCCTGCCCTGAGCATCTACTCAGGGCCAGACGGAGCCTACTGTCCTTGTCCTTTTTAAATCAATTGACTGATGATCTTGAGGCTGGGAGTGCAGCGGTACAGACAACAGCTGTGATGGGACATGGGTCCCTGAGCTGGTTCCTTGGGCAACATTGTCACAGGATCATGACTGGCCACCGCTTGTTTGCAGAGGGACAGACCCCAGGCCCCGCCAGCCAACACCGGCTCTGTGCCTGTGCAAAGTCCTTGGCTCTCGGTGTCCGGCTCTCCCTGCCGGTGAAAGCCTGGTCCCCCCTCACGTGGGGGGTGAGTCAGAGCACCCTACCTGCATGCACCTTCCCTCTTCTCATTCAGCTTCCTCTGGCCCCGAGTGGAAGCATGAGTCCCCTCCAAAGTATCTCCAAGGTGGGCCTTCCCAACTGTGACCCAGATATTCCCAAGCCCTTCGGGGTCCTGGGCCACCAACTGAATATAGGGCTCGAGCCTCCAGGCCATGCTGGGTGACGATGGATTTTTCTGGGGGTTCTCCTGGTGGCCCCTGCACCATCTGCTCCCCAAGTGCTGCTCTCACCCCTGCAGAGCTACCTGTCTCCCTCTGTGTGTTCCCATGCTGCACGCTTCTGATCCTGCACCCCTCCCCAGGGTCCCCTGGGACTTCAGGTCACCCGCATGATGGCCACCCTGCATGTGCCAGTTGCTGACGGAATGGCAAATCTGGTGCTATTGCAAAACCCCATTTGTCTTTGCGGCCAGATTTCCACCTTCTCCCCCAATCCTTGGCCTCTGCTTCTCAAGATGCCAGCCTTGAACTTCCAAATTCCCACGACTTTCTTGTCCTGATGGTTTGGTGTCCCGTGTTTGCACATACACATATGCACACATAATCGCACATACATGTGCGTGCATACACACATACACGTATACACATGTGCACACACACACACACAGTCTCTCTAAGCAGGAGAGAGCGTCCTGGGTCACTACCAGCCTCCACGGACGGCCCTGCTTGCTGGAATTTCTGCAAACTTTCTCTCACCAAGGAATTTCCAGGCATCAAAAGAGAGAAGACAAAAAAGAAAGCAAAACATGCAAACTGCAAACAAAAAGCCTTAGAAAAAAAATCTACACGAACACTTTCATTTTGCAGATGAAGAGGTTGAGGTCTGAAGTTTCATTTACTGGTTTTTTTCCGGGCTCTGAACATAATGCCGGTACCTTGCTGTGATGCTAAATTTGAGAAAGCAAGTCAGTCCTCAGGCCTGGGCTTCTCAGCCTGGGCCCTGCTGAGCTTCCGGCAGGTGCTTCCGTGTAGGGGGGTGGGGGGCGGCACGGCCTTCCTGAGCACTGCAGGCTGTTAGCGGGATCCCTGGCCTCTGCCCCTGCCAGCAGCACCCCAGTGTGACCAACAATAACGTCCGCAGGCGTTTCCCCGTCCGTGGTGGGGGGCGCCCCAGGACGGCTGCGTGAGCCGCGGGCATGTGGCTAAGGCAGCACTGCCAGCGTGGACCCATCACGCCCACCTCCTGGCCCAGCAGGACCTGCCGCTTGGCTTCAGAGTGACCGTAAAATCGATTGACCTGCCATGAAATATTAACAAGTGATTAAAAACTCCGTCCTAGATTCCTTCTCTGGGCATGTGCTTCTGTGAAGAAAATAAAGAGGAAGGCAAATGGGAATTGGTGAACCCTCCCGTGAAGACGCTGACCCACGGCTCGAACTCGGCGTTTAACTGGCGGAACTGGCTGGTGGGCCGCTAGGCGCCGCGTCCACGCTCCGCTCGGTGCCGCCGTGAGCGCACCAAGCTCTTGGCGGAGCCCAGGCGGTGCCGGCATCCGACGGTGTCCGACGCTCCCTCGATGTGATTTGTTGATGCACGAAATGCACTTTTAGATCCCCGGATGTTTGCCATCGGCGGTCACCGTTGCAGCTGCCACTGGTGGACTGTCACCCCGTGAGCGCAGCCCTCGTATCCTGGGGACCTGCCGCGTGGCCCGGAGGGAAGGAGCCACCGTGACCCACCACGGGGGACCGGATGGAGGTGCCCACTTTATTTCACGTGTTCTGATGAGCCGAGTTCCCTGTCGATGTCCTTGTTCTGTTCCCATCACCTTCTGGCTCCCTCCACACGGGCCCAAGGGGGTATAGAAGTCAATAAAATGCAACAGGAAACCACCCCCCTGCTGGAAATCGGGGAACCGCTGCTCGGTGTCTGCTCCTTGGTACTAGTGTTCTCACTGCTGCGGGGACAAATCACCACGGAGCAGCCATTAGGGACGACATGCAGTTTTAAAAACAAGTGCACAGCTTAGTTTACAGCTCGGGGGGGGGGGGGGCAGGAAAAGATAGGTCAGGGGGCTGCCTTCCTCCCAGAGGCCCTGGCAGGTGGGGGCGTCTGGCCCCTTACCCCTTGCCCTCCTGCCTCCTTCCGAAAGCAGCAGCACCTGCAAGCACCAACCCCCTTCGCTTCCACCACCACATGACCTTCTGCCTCTGACCCCGTCCCCCTTTTATAAGGTCTCTTGGGATTACAGGAGGCCAGTCTTCCATCTCCAGATCCACAGCTGAATCCCATTGGCACGGTCCCCCCCTTTGCCCTGTAAGGGACACGATCACAGGTCTGGGATAAGGATGGATATGGCTTTGGGGCCAACTCCATCCCCCTTGCCCCACACATTGGGATATCGGGGCCCCAGTATAAGGATGTGAGACACCCCCGCACCCTCAGTGCAGGCCTGCCCAGCTTCTCCCTTTCCCCATTTTGATACAGTGGAGGGGGAGGTGGCTTTGCAAACGAGGGGAGCATGTCCTGCCCTGACTCACAGGAGAGACCCACCAGCACGGGGACATCTGCCTGGATACCGTCAATCCAGTGGTGCCTCTGACTCTCAGACAGTTGGTCCAGGTGGGTGATGGGGGAGTCTCTCCCATGGCATCCTCCCCCACGGCCCCCCACTGGTCACACCTGTCCTGACCACCAATGCGTCCCAGACAAAATCCCACCACGGCCCAGTGAACCCCCGACTGGCCTTCTTCCCCTCCCGCCGTGCTCTAGGCCTATGGCTGCATTCTCGTGGTTTGGGACCGTGGTTGACCTGTGCCTGGCCGCTCACAGAGCAAGGATGGAGGCTGGTGGGAAGTGCGGGCCTTGCCCCCTGCAGTCTCCCAGGCAAGGCTGGGGGCATGGGGTCCACGGAGCTCATGAGGAGTGGAGAGGGTGGACCCCGGAATCCAGACGGGGAAGCAGCCCCGTTACAAAGAACACACAGGCCACGCAAAGGGCTCTTGGCTTTGGAGTCCCACGCCCTGGGAGAAAGACAGAGTGTCCGTCCCTTATTTCATTTCACTCGTGATGTCATGTTTCTGGCTCTGAATGTAAAGGAGTCTGCAGGTGACACAGAATGAGAGCAGGGGACAGCCCACTCACAGGCTCCCACATCTTGTCCCCATCATGTCGCAGGCTTAGGGAAATAACCCTGCCTGCCTCCCAGCAGGTGCTGCCAGGAAGCAAACGGGCCCTGGGGCTGGGGAGGACAACCCCTCCCACGGAGGCCACACCTGCCTCCAAGCACCTGGACAGCTGCCCCTTTTCTGCAGCAGGTGCAAGGTCTGGAGCAAGGCTACATTACTAATCAGAACGATGAATAAAAACTTCACTTTTTCAAGCAAGTGGAGTTTAGATAGTGGCCCCTTCGTGGGGGGTGGTCCCCAGGTGCCTGGTTCACCCCGTGGGGGGTGAGGCTGCAGAGGTCACATGCCCCCCGGGGAATGAAAGGGGCCCACCCTCCTTGCTGGGCTGCTGATGGGGTCTTGCAAGAGTCAACGAGATGGGTTCGAATCTCAGATGCCAAGGTCAGGAGAGCAAGAAGCTCCATTTTCTTTATATTCTATGATTCTGGGTCTGACCGGCCCCTCCATTCTGACGCAAGGGCGGGAAAGCCCGGTCCTGTCCCTTTTAGCTCCCAGGATGGGCCTCCCTGTAAGGACGGGGCCCTGCGATCAGAGCATCAGAGCTGCGCTGGGGAAAGGGAGGGTTGGGGTTCATCTCTGGTTGGTGCAAGTTTTCAATTTTTCCAGCAAGTGGGAAGCCCGGAAAGAAAGGTCGGCGGCTCTGGCGTGCAGGGCCCGTGACTGGTGAGGCTGCCCTGCCCCCTGCTGACGGGCCTGGACACGCCTGGGGCCGCCCCGCCGCGCAGCATCTCTGCTTCCCTCCCCTGGGGCTGAAAACCAGGCCTGGAAAGCACCTGTCCATGGTTGGCGCCTGCTTGCCTCCCCTCATTTGTGTCCCCGAGCCTGTGGCACAGGGAGGGAAGCCTCTCCCGGACTCCCCACCTGCTCTTTCAGAAGATGGAAGGGATGGGGGATGCCCTTGGGGCCAGGCAGCCAAGGATTCAGGAGCCTTCCCCCCGGGGCTGATGGGGAATCTGGAGCCTCCAGGGGACACGTCTGTGGTCGCAGGTCTGGGGCCACCGTCGCCTGGAAACACCCTCTCTCTGCGCTGAGAAACAGCCATCGTAATTTCCCACTGAAGCAAGTCTTTAGAACCAAATTTGAGATTTGGGTTTTTTTCAGGGCGGGGGGGGGGGGGTCTGGTCACGTTGGTGACTTTCATGGGTTAAATTGTGTGTCCCCAGAATCCCGAAGTTGAAGTCCAGACCCCCAGCTCCTCAGAATGTAGCCTTATTTGGAGGCTGGGTCTCTTAAGAGGTGAGTAAGGGGAAGCGGGGGTGGCCAGATGCAATCTGACCGGTGTCCCTATGAGAAGAGATCAGGACACACGCATGGGACAACCAGTGAGGACACAGGGAAGACGGCGTCACATGCCCGGGAGAGAGGCCTCGGGTGGAGCCCACGCCTGGGTCTCGGACCTCCAGCCTCCGGACTGTGAGATGACGCGTTCCTGTCGTGCTCCTTCGTCACAGCAGCCCTAGGACAACACAGTGCATTAAACACTTGGTATAAACAGCACAAAATACAAGCCTCTAAGGTGTGCGGCAAACGGCTCCATCACCCAACAGGTTAGATACCCACCTCCATGCGCTTCCTCTCCTGACCTTTTTTTTTTTCTTCCTTTTTGGACTTATTTTTAAGCATTAAACATAAAGGTCTGACCTCCCGTGGGCAAGTTAGGTCGGTGTGAGGAGTAAAGGCAGGAACGCGGGTCCCCCGGGCGCCCTCCTGCTCCCGGCGTTGGGGAGGAGCCTTACTGCTGGACTCTGTGGGCTCCTCTGCCCCCCCCACTGGGTGTCCTGGGAGCCTCAGGGGCTTGCAGGTGCTCAGGGGTCACACAGTCCCCAAGCTTCCTCATGGAAGAGAGCCCACTGCCCTTCTCAGCCCTTGAATACAGGGGCTTTGTCAACCTGCCCATTGGGAGCAAGACCAGGTACCCACCTGGGGTCACCACCCGGTGTTCCCAGAGCTGCTGTGTCTCCTCTGCAGGGCCAAGCTGGGTGGAGCGGGGGCAGGGGTTCTTCTCCACCCTGAGCCACTCTGTCACCTGGTTTCAGGGGCTCACAAAACCCTACAGACGGCCCTAGCTGGCACCTCCATCCTACAGGCCCCCAGCTCAGTCCAAGGAGCCACAGAGGGTAGAGGTGGGGAGTACAGAGAGCAAAGCCCCCTCCCTGCAGCTTGGACACTGACAGCAAGCCATCAGTACCCGCGGATGCCGGGAGCACAGACCTGGAGCCCCAAGAAAATCAACCGAAATCCTAGGACCACAAGAAGAGCATCCAGTAAGCGCCTGAGCTCCAAGATGAAGCTCAGACGTCGATGGGTTTCATGTACACCAACATCATCAGGAGACATGGTGACAGATGACATCCCATGTACACGGCAGCGACATCAGGACATGAAATGCCCAGGACATTTGAACGGAAGACGCCTGAGAACGGAAACGTGCCATCGTGGGGCACAGAGGGAGACCGGTCTGGTTGGACAAGCACAGTAAGGGGGACACGGCCCCACATTAATCCACAAAATGCTCACCGAGGCCTCCTGGGTGCCCGTGACTCGTTGCACAGCTGTGTGTCCCGGGGCTCAAGACCTCAGCAATGCGGACGTCTGGGGACAGTAATTCTGTGCTGCGGGGGGAGGGGGGTGCCCTGTGGGGTGTTCAGCAGCACCCCTGGCCTTGACCCAGGAAGATGCCCCTTTGACAGTTAACGCTAATAACCAGAAATGTCTCCAGATCTTGCCAAACACGCCCTGGGGAGCAAAATCGTGCCCATCGAAAACCCCTGACGAGTTCCCTGGGCCCTGGTCCCAGCCCTTGGGCGCACGTGACAGCACAGGGGTGCGGGGGGAGCTGGCCTAACTCCTTCACACCCTTGCTGAGTGTGCGCGCTGTATGCCGATCTTGAGCGCGTGATGCTCCAAAGGGCACGGCTCTGTGAAATGAGGACACGGGTCATCCAGGCACACAAACCCGGCCTTCGGAAGCTGCTGGTGCAGACACGAGCCTGGGTGGGGACGCACGGGGGCTGGGGTGCCAAGCCCAGCGAGAGTCTGCGGGGCCTGCCATTCTGCGGCATCCAATGACAGACGAGCCTTATTGGTGGCATTTTTGTCCGTGTGACCAACCCACCCCCCACCCCCCCACACACACACATACCTCCACCTCCCAGCTTCTAGATCTGGAAAGTGTGCCTCCAACATCAGAAGGCTGCAGAGTCCTCGGACGGAGG